AGATCCCACATGTGTCATGGTGAAAAAAGAAAAAAAGCAGAAACCAGATATTGCCTCCCCTAAGGGTTAAGTCCTCAAGGGTGGGCTTCTGTTGTTACCAAGTCCAAGCTCGCTCTGCTCGCCGCACGACAGGCCAATGAATCCGAGAGACAAGGTGTTGAGGCAAGCATGGGAGAGACTTTAATCGGAGAGTCAGCAGACTGAGAAGATGGTGGGCTAGGGCCTGAAAATAACCATCTTATTGGGGTCTGGATGCCAGGTTCTTTTATAAATCAGAGAGAAAGAAGCAATGAGGAACTAAAGTCAAAAGGCAGAATAGAGAGTGAGCAGCAGTGGGAAAAGGGTGTGCCAATCTCTTCTATTCATAGGTGGGCAAGGACAAGCTCACTCTCCACGAGCTGAACTAAGGCACTTTCAGTGCAGTTCAGTCGCTCTTTGCGATCGCATAGACTGCAGTGCACCAGGCTTCCCTGTCCATCACCAACTCCCAGAGCTGGCTCAAACTCATGTACATGGAGTCGGTGATGCCATCCAACCATCTCATCCTCTGTCGTCCCCTTCTCCTCCTGTCCTCAATCTTTCCCAGCATTTAAAAGGCGTGTTAGTTTACAGTCAAGCAAGAGGGGCAGGGTCGTTTGGGCAAGCCACTGAGTATGATTATAATAATAAAAGCAAGTCAAAGCAACAGTTTCAACATGGGAGTCAGAACTGGCTTTCTCCCTGAAGCACCATTACACTTAACGTAGGAGCTGAAGGCCTTCAACCCAGCCTCTGCCTCCCACGCTTGCTCCCAATGACTCCACCCCGGAAGCCTTTCCCGCCTCTTCTCTCCCGTAGGCCTCAGTTTTCCACCCACTCACCACCTGTTCCATTTCTTCCACGGCTCCATCACTGGTTCACTTGCCTGTGCCCTGTTACACCCACAGCCCCCATGCCCCCAGACTCAACTCAGCTTCTGACAGTAAGGACCCCCAGTGCCAGCAGGGCGCTTGGGATGTCACAGGTGTGAAACAGATGTCGCTGAGCGATCTCGGTGACTGAAAGCAAGCAGGTAAGTTGTGCACACCTGAAAAAACTGCTCCTATGGCAGGAAGAACCTACAAACCTGCAAGTAGACACGGTCACTTTTGCTGCCTTTAATGCCCAGAGCTCAGCAGCAGGGGAGGAGCCTGCCTGAAACACCCAGACCCCGGTCACACCCCCGAGACTGAGTCATCACAGCTCTGGCCATGATTAGGCATTTTAAGCAGGTATCATTTGAAAAGACCCTGATGCTGGGAAAGATTGAAGGTGAGAGAAGAAGGGGACAACAGAGGATGAGATGGTTGGATGGCATCACTGACTCAAAGGACATAAGTTTGAGTTAAACTCCGGAAGTTAGTGATGGACAGGGAAGCTTGGTGTGCTGCAGTCCATGGGGTCGCAAAGAGTCGGAAACGACAGCAACTGAACTGACCTGAACCTCAGATGCTACTCTGGATCCCCACACCCCACCCCGCCACCACCAATACCTTGAGAAACACTGGTTTGGCGCATAGAAAGTACCCTCATTATTTTAATTCTGTTTCAACATTTATCATTTGAGGGGAAAAAATTGAGTTAGAGGAGAGACGTTCTATTGACTTTTGAAAATAGGAACGTTAACTAAACCAACATAACTAAACTTGGTTTCCAAGGTTTAGAACGTAGCTAAACTTGGGTTTCCAAGGTGCGTGGAAGGAGGGCTGTGTGGAAACCGTTTCTTCCATCATCATCACTGGAAACAGGCACAGTTTCTCCTCCTCCCCTTTGGAAATTAATCTATGTTTACTGTCCAGCATACATTACTAAAGTGATCTACAACCTCTATCTAATAACATAGATCAGTAAGGAGAACCACCTGAGAAATTAACCTGGGGCAAGTCCTCAGGCAATTTTCCATTTTCTTGTTCCCCAGAATGTAGCAAAAAAAAATTTTTTTTGGGGGGGGGGCATGGCGCAGCTGTGCTGTGACAGGCTTCTCAAGTTGTGGCACGCACTTGAGATGTTGGTTCCCTGACCAGGAATCAAACCCATGTCCCCTGCATTGGCAGGTGGATTCTTAACCACTGGACCACCAGGGAAGATCCTGCAGCAAACATTGAGCAGACACTAGGCTGAAGTCCAAAGGGTTCCGAAGTGTGCTTTGTTGGGCAACACGATCCTCACCTTCAAGGACTCCGGGTCTGATCGGGGACACAGACAAGAAAGTCAGGCCGGTGCCACTCGGGGTCCTGTGTGGGCATGGGCCCCAGGCCTCCGGGATGAGCAGAGGCTAGCTCAGATCAGAAACTCAGATCAGAGACTAGAGGTGACGATGGCCTGAATTAGAACAGACATGAGGTGGGGAGAGCAAAAATGAGGGGCTTGGGGGATTTCAGAGACATTTCAGAGGGAGAATTCACAGGACTTGAATTCTCCTTGTGGGGTCAGGATCTATAGCGTTCTGCGGATCTACAGAGTTACCAGCTGTGCCAGGCGACAGGGAACCAGGAGGTGGAGCAGGTATGTGAGGGAAAGAGTGGGCGGGGTGAGGCCGGGGGCCTGGGACACGTCCTGATCAGGGTTCTAAGTGATGATATGGGAGCCCTCAGGCGAAACGGTGAGTGGGTGAGAAAACTCCAGGAGAAGTGTAGAGAGAGGGACCCGGACAGGATACTGAGAAACACCAGTATCTAGTGGACACACGGAAGAAGAGAAGCCCGCGCAGGGTGCCGGGGAGAGTCTGGTGGGCTCACCAGAGAAGGAAGGAGGGTTTCCGGGTGGAAGGAGGGGGACGCAGGGACAGACGGCAGTGGCTGGGACATCTGGATTTAGCAGCACAAAGGGCCGTGACTCCAGGTGGCTGAGGAAGAAACGCAGGAAGTGATGACAGCTCTCTGAGGAATTTATAGTCTGAAGCGCAGGGGAGAGGCAACAGGAATGGAAAGGAGACTGAGAGAAAGATGGGTGTCAGCAGGGTCGGGGGAGTGCTGGGGACTGAGTGAGGAGGAGGGTCAGAAAGTGGGGTATCTGAATTTAAGAGTTCACACTGGGAATTCCCCAGCAGTCCAGTAGTTAGGACTCGGCGCTTTCGCTGCCAGGGCCCCGCGTTCGATCCTCGGAAGTTCACAGAGGGTGATAAGTGCTGGGCTTTAGGAGTGAATGGTCAAGGGGACAGACCTTGTCTCCATGTCAGGGAGATACACTGTCCATGCCAGCTGGGAGGCCATCCTGGCTAGGAGCTGGGGGAGGGAGGAAGACAGCAAGGATCACAGTGTTCACGGAACGAAGGGTCACAGTGGGGGTCACAGTGGATGAGGTCACCAGCATGGGGATGACCTCTGGGACGCGCCTCCCAGAGTTGCCTTTTTCAAATGTGGGGTGGCCAAGGCCTCAGCAAAGGAGGTGACTTGCCAGACCACCAGCCAGGGGAGTGTCAGCACAGACTGGGACCCAGACCTCCCCACTGAGCGGCTAGTACTATGCGCCTTGACCTGAACCACCTCAGCCTCTGCATAACCCCCACTCAACAACCTGGGCACCTGAGTGCGCTCTGCAACTGTGAGTACTGTGATCATTAAATTTCTCTTTCAGCTCGGTGCTGTCAGCATGCTTAATCTCATAGGGTGGGGAATGCCGTTTTCTTGGGTTCGGTTAGTAAACGAGCTCTGGAAAGCCCTGGTAATTATGACTTACATTCTACTTCTGCCCAGACACGCTAGATAAATGTGCCTGGGGGTGGGAGCATGACTACCAGGCCTAGGAAGCTTTCTAAAGGATGTGCAATCAGGGTTCAGAGGTAAGAACTCAAGCAAAGGACTCTGTTGCTCAAAGAATGTTCACCTGTGATGCAATTACTGCCATTAGCAAAGTGTTCAGAATGTTTCCTTCCTTTTTTGAACACCAAAAACATTTTATATTGGGGTGTAGCCGATTAACAATGTTCTGATAGTTTCAGGTGAACAAAAAATTTTAAAAAAAGAATGTTTTCCTCCTGTTTTTCAGTCCACTTTATCAACTGCCAGAGGTGTGAAAGCCACACTGTATTTTTTGTGGACTTTGCTCCCCGAAATACAACAATCTCGTTCCTGTTGCCATGGGTGGGAGGGGCACTAATCAGACCCCAGGATTTTCCTCATTCCTTTGTTAGGGCGGTAAACACAGGGAAACTAGCTTAGTCAGCTCTTAAATGTTCTCTCGGAATAAAAGGTGTCATTCTGGCTCTCAGCGAGGGTCTTGAAGTATAAATGGATCTGGCCTGGCATACCTGCTAATCTTTACTCATCCAAAGGTCAGAAAACTTGGACTGGGCGACAGGAATGGAATTTTTCTTTTTTCTTTCCTTTGGATAAATGTGTCACGGTGCCATGCTGTTGTGACAGATGGAAAAATCCTATGTAGGGCACGCAGGAAGGGCTCCGAGGGCCCGCCTGGCACGGTGGGTGGATGGGAACCCATCTCTCCTCTCAGTGAGTTACCCATATGCACTTCCTGAAAAGACCGTTCCTGTTTGAATGTCTGGGTTACAAAACCGGAGAGTTCACCATTCCCAGTGAGACGTTCCCTGCAGCCTGGAACGGAAGCAGCCAGAGGCACTGCGGAAACTTCTCCCCCAGCGCTCTGCCCACCAAGCATGCTGCACTTGGGTGAGGACCCCACAGATCTAGCTGGGCCTGGTGGGTGGGGCTGCGGTTCCAGGTGACCAGCTCCGGGTGCATGCTCAGCCTGGGGTCGCTGTCCACCTGGCAAATTGGGGCGTGGCCACCCACACCTTCCCCAAACGGAGCCTCCTCTCCTCTCTACCCCTTCTCCCCCCCTCACCCCGCAACCCACCGTCCGCCCGGCAGACTGATAACGAGATCCCATCCGTCCACAGGGTCAGTGACCGGTCCTGGGCGTCCTCCGGGGCTCACCCTGGGAACCTGGTGCTCCTACGCTGTGCTCAGACCCACACACGTCTGGCAGACTAGGGCTCACCCTGCCCTGCACTTGCGGGCCAGACCCAGGGGCAGAGAAAGCGCAGCCTCCCCATTCCGTCGCTGGGAAGGGAGAGCGAGGGATGCTCAGGCTTCCGGCTCTCCTCACCACCGCGGCGCGGATCCCTGCTCACGGCCACTTGCGGCGCACCCGGGAACCAGGAAAGATGAGCACCCTTCTCGGGTTTTCGTGTCCCGGTGGGAGCGGCGCCTGCAGGGACCCCGGGTGGGGGTGGGGGGGGAGGCCCTGCGCGCCCCGCCCCTCCTTGCCCGCAGCGTTACGTGGCCCGCGGCGCCCGCGGCGCCCGCGGGCCGGTCACGTGACAGCCGCGCCGTTGCCCTGGCAGCGGCTGCGGCGGGGCGACGGGGGGGCGGGGCTGCCGGCGGGGGCGGGGCCTGGGGGACCCCGCGGGACTGGCCGAAGGAGGGAGGGGGCTGCTCTCGGCGCCCCGGCCGGGCCACCTGGCCACCGGGCCACGCCAGTGCCGCCAGCCGCGCGCCTGAGCCGGAGTTGGGCCGGGAGGGCAGAGCAAAGATCGGTGAGTGCTCGCTGCGAGATCTCCGCCCCGGCGGGGGCGGGGGCAGCCGGAATTGCACCCGGAGACCCCAGCTTCCTCCTGAGCAGGCCTACGGGACGACTGTGAGGTTGGGACCCCAAGCCCGCGGGATCCCCGAGCGGGGTGCGGCGCCGCCGGGATGACTGGGAGGTTGCAGGGCGCGGAGAGATACGGGCCGCATGCGGGTCCCGGCTGCTAAGGGAGTGCTGAGGAAAAGGAACAGGGATACAGGCGGGTTCCTCTAGAGAGACCCAGGGGAGGAGGGGAGCTGGACCCTCCCGTGTGCGGATGTGACAGAAAGAGTCAGAAACAGCCGTTTCTGCGTGGCACTCGCCATTGCTAGTGCCCCAGATGTTTAAGGGAAGTTGACAGGCAAACCCCCAAACTCACCCCCTGGAAATGTTTCCCACGGCCAGAGAGCGTCACGGTAATTCTACGAGATCTCTTTCTCTGACCGCCCCTTATTTAAAAACAAAACCAAAAGCCCACAAGGTTTGTCCAGGAGAGCATCCTTTGGAGCCTCTGCCACCTGACAGAAAGGTCAAGCTCCATCTTGCCCTGCCCCACTCGCTGCCTAAGCCGAGCCCTGGAGTCTGAGGACCAGACTCTGCCTCTGGGGAGCCCGGGTGGGGAGGAGGCTTGGCCCGGGGTAGGACTCTGGAGCTGGGGGGCCCGAGGATGGGTTTGAATCCAGTCTGAGCTGCTCCCTCTGCAGGAAGTGGTTTCTCTGTCTTGGGGCCCCACAGGCTCACCTCACCACCCCCGCTCCAAGCCCACAGACAGTCCTTCCTCCCCAAATCCTGCCACTGGGGACATCAGTAGAGTTGAGGCCGCCCCGGCCACCGCCCAGGCCACCGTCAGCTCTCACTGCCCATGAAATTCTCCAGTCTCCAACCTGGGCTCAGCTCACCTTCACTGATGGTCCCCATCTCCACCCCATTCATCTCTCTGGAGGCCACCAGGCCCTCCTGCCCTTCCCACCTGGCCAAGTGTTTGAGCACACAGACTAGACGGAACCCCGATGGCTCCCTCACCAACTCCTCCCAAGCCTGGGCATCTGGGCAGTGCCAGGGCAAGTCCAACACAGTCCTACCGCCTGGGCCGCACGTACTCCCTGAATCTTGCTTCCACCACTGTTCCCCTGGCCCCGCTGCAGCCCGCCTTCCTGCCCTGCCTCTCAGACCCTCTCCCAGTGCGCACCATCTTGTCTTTGCAGGAGAGTCCCTCTTTGCCAATGCTACCTTCACTAACTGTGTCCTGGTCCCTATCCCGGCTCCCTCGCAGGGACCCTCTCCTGGCCCAACAGTAGAGGCAGCCACACCCTCATCCAGCCCCTCAGCCCTCACACTGGCTCCACTACAGCAGCATTTAACTCACCGGACAAGAATCTCCCCCCACTTAGGCCACTCGCCCACTGAACATCCTCACCTTTCATCTTTGATCCTTAAGTACCAAATGCAGTCTTACCTTAGGGCCCAGGAAGCGTTTACTGGATGCAGGACGGAGAATGGATCCTCTGAGGGGGCAAAGGTTGTGCCTTTCACCCTTCCACAGGCTGGACAGTGTCTTCATCAACCCCGTGGGCTCACTTCTGTTATGTAGTGGGGCAAAAAGAGGGGGAAAAAATGCATTTCCAAATGATGCCATTCTAAATGATTTGGAGCCAGCCAATGGATTGGTTAGTGGACATTTCTCCGAATTCTTTCCCCAAGGGAAGGGACATTCCTGTGACTGAAGTGATCACAAGCAGTGCTGCTGGCTGCAGATGTGGGTGGGGGCTGGGGTGGTGGTGACCAAGGTTCCCAAGTCGGCCCTCTTGTAAACGACCTAGTAATTGGCATCCCCGGGCAGAAACAGAAGAGCACAGAGCTGTTCTCTGGGGGCCATATTGGCCAGTAAAAGCCGTGCCTCCATGGCCTGGTGCAAAACAAAGAGGAAGGCACCCCCCCAAAAGAGAGAGCCTCCCCCCTCCCCAGGACCTTCCCAGAGAATCCATTTAGGGACTGGCATGGGCAGATCAAGTTTGGGGCATTTCCTCAGCCACGGACCCTGGTAAACACCCTCTATCCTGCCCACCCACCCCCAACCTGGCTCCCTGGGACCTAGGAACGCTGATCTGTTTGTAATAGCCTTAAGTAGGCTTTTCACCGGGCCCATGCGGGCCTGAAGGTACAAGTTAATATCTGATGCTAAGTGAGCTGTGAGGTGCCTGTGCCCTTGAAGCCTGCCCTACAGATTAATTAGAGCTGATCCTGAGGGCTGCTGCAAGGCCAGCCCCTTGGGCCACACAAGACCGCCAATCCCCTATTTGGATTAGTGGAGATTTGGGTTTAAATTCACAAATCTCGACAGATCAGCCCTTCTGATCTTCATCCTGTGTTACTGTCAAACCGCATGTCTACTGGGATGACTTGAGGGGTCTCCAGCCTCCATTTCTTAATAAATAAATAAACCCCCAAACCATGTTCATGTCAATTGGCCAATCTGGTTTTTCATTTTGCTAAAGTTTTCCACTGCACCCTGGATGTAGCTTCAGTTGTATAAATCAGTTATTTTCAGGGTGAACTGTGCTGATTTAAATTGAAGTGAGATTTGAGAAATTAGCAGCTGTGTGGAAACATTGATTTCATGGTTGGCACCTGGCAGTTGGAAGGCAATTTGCAGTCTTTGGGCTCCATTCCCTTGTTAATGAGAATCTCCAGGATTCTTGCCTGGCGGGCTACAGTCCATGGGGTCGCACAGAGTTGGATACAACTGAGCGACTAACAGGGTGGGCATGTCTCCACGTGAAGATGAACAGGTTGGAAAAGTCAGGTGTTGTGCTTAGAATCCCACGGCCAGGTCAAATCCAGAAGTTTCAGGTCCTTGAAACTTCCAAACCACTACGACTCCCTATTCCTTGAAGATAGGCATTTAGGTGCTTTCGGCCAGCCTTGGAATTCTGTGCACCCAGAGCCACGCTCAGTTGGAGCTTTTCTCAGCTCAGGCGAGGAGACCAGATTCCAGCTTTGTGGAGGAACATTGGACGCTTCAGTGGGTCCTGAAGATGCACCCGCCTGACCCCTCTTTCCCACAGGTGGTCCCTACATTCCTGTGTGGGGACAAGCCTCAGAGGCCAGAGCCCCACCCTCGTGCACCCCTGGATCCCGTGGCCCTGGCGTAGGGTGTATATAGCGGGCCTCTAGGGAAGGTAGAAGGGACTTGGGAGTCTGGTTTCTCCCCGCACCGGGGACCCTCTGGTATACCTGAGTGTGTCTCTCCCGCCCCCAGCCTGGCCCCCACCATGAGCGCCGAGCTCAACGTGCCTGTGGACCCCTCCGCTCCCGCCTGCTCGGAACCCGGCCATAAGGGCATGGATTACCGGGACTGGGTCCGCCGCAGCTACCTGGAACTGGTCACCTCCAACCACCACTCTGTACAGGCGCTCTCCTGGAGGAAGCTCTACCTGAGCAGGGCCAAGCTAAAGGCCTCCAGCCGGACGTCAGCCCTCCTCTCGGGCTTTGCCATGGTGAGTGGAAGCATGTGGTGGGAAACACAGCCAATAAGGTGGGCTTCTGCTAACTGAAATCCCATGATGCTTCAGGGAGCAAAGCCCACCCTCTGGGCCCTGCTGGCAGCCAGGGAAGTGGTTCAGGATGGACCACTAGGAAGTCTCTGGCCAAGGACTTCCCTGGAGGTCCAGTGGCTAAGACTTCACTCTCAATGCAGGGGAGCCTGGGTTCAATTCCTGGTCAGGGAACTAGATCCCACAGGCTGCAACTAAGACTCCTCCCCCACCCCCACCCTCCAATAAAACTCTCCGCCCAGGCCCCACCCCCTCCAAGGGGACTGGTCTGGGAACAGGAAGGACGGCCTGGGGCACCCAGGGGAGTCCCCCAAGCCCTCATAAGGCCCCCAAGAGTTTGGCAATGTGAGCAGGAACTGCAGAATGGACCTGGTTTGCTCAGTGTAACCCCCCTGGGCACGTGTGCTCCCCCGAAGTGATGAAGCAGAGCCTCTGGCCTGACTCCCGGCTGCCCGGTTATGCTTTCCTTCTGAGTCATCCCGCAGGGCGAGCCTGTCTGGGGAGAAACCGCGGGCCCCCAGGAAGGGCCACGTCTCCTGTTGACTCCGAAGCCTGCAGACCTCATCCCTCCGAGGGATCGTCTCAGAGAGCGGGGATGTCAGGATCCCAGTGAGAACTGCGGCACCGCTCCTCCTCTCTGTTGTCTGCTAGGAGGTCCAACTGGGCTGGAAGCAATACTTTTTTTTCTTTTTTAACGTGGAAACAATTTTTTCCATAGCCTAGAGCGTCAGTTGTCCAGTGGATATGCAGAAAATAGAAAGGTGTCCGAGAGAGCCAGTGTGGCCAAGCCTCTGACAAGGGCCTGCCAGTCATGGGCACCGGTCACCCTCGGAGAAATGAGACATTGTGTAGTCAGGGCGTGATTTCATACAGGGCAGGGCAGTGGTCACCACATTTAGAGGGCAGTCAATCTGCGTTCAGGTCTGTGGTTTAAAGCAAAGGCTGATTCAGGTCTTGCAAATTATTTTTTAAAAAACAGGGTCTTCCCTGATGGTCCAGTGGCTAAAACTCTGAGCTCCCAAAGCAAGGGGCCCGGGTTTGATCCCTGGACAGGGAACCAGATCCCACAGGCCACAACTAAAGATCCTGCATGCCACAACTAAGACCCAGCACTGCCACATAAATACATATTAAAAAAAAAAAAACATAATTATAAAAGTGTCCAATCACACAGGGCAAAATTTTGGCTCAAAATGATTTTCTTTCATCACATTAAAAAAGGAATGTTTTCTCAAGCTTAATTTTAAGAAATATGCAAGGGAATTTTCAATGTCACTATTAAAATTAGATCTTGGGGGACTTCCCTGGTGGTCCAGTGGCACAGACTGTGCTCCCAATGCAGGGAGCCTGCGGTTTGATCCCTGGATGAGGAACTAGATCCCTGCGCAGCCAAATAAATAGAAATAAATATTTTAAAAATTAAATCTTGTTTTCTACCTTTACAGAAGAATTATAGTACTGCATTAAGTTTTTCTGGCCTGTATAATACATATATATGTATATATGTGTGTATATATCTTTGGAAAACTAACTCTGAGAAGCATTGCCCGACTATTGAATGCGGTAGGATGGTTTCCATTCTGTGTGGGGCCCAGGTCTTGGAAATCACTTCCTGTCTGCAGGCGGTCTCTAGAGACTACGGTTTGGATTTCCAAATTTAGGGAAGAGTCACTTTTTCCAACAAAACGCTCACCCAAGTTGAAGGCTACAAAACCCCTCATTGAAATTTGAAAACAAGCCCAGTGAAGCTACAAAACACAGAGTGAATCCTGGAGGGTTAGTTTGAGACTTAATTGCAGCCTTCAGGGGTGTGACGTGGCCTGAGAACGGCAACAGTGACCTTTGAGGCAGGGGTGGAAATAATAATGAATTTTCTCAGCTTTCATGGAATATCTCCTCTGTATCAGCCAGTGCTCCCGTTAAGAAACCACACAGACCCCAGTAAATCAGATAATTGTTCAAACAGCAAAGCCACCTAGGAGAAAGAAGTGATGAACACCGATCGTCAGCCAGTATTTCCGCTGTGGAAACAACAGCTGAATGAGGACAGGGCCGTGGAAGAATGAACAGGCGGCGCTCGACTCGGAGTCTGCTCTGTGTCCTTCGTCATCGCTCAGTCACTCAGTCACGTCCAGCTCTTTGCAGCTCTCTATATTTTGTATTCCCTAATTAGAATCGCAAAGCTGGTCCTTTGTCCAACAAGTGCTCATGCCTGACCTTAAGCTTATATCTTCATGTTTATCCTGCCCCTAACACAGAAAACCTGTGATCCGAGGCCTGTGATAAAATATCTGCATAAATACACTGAAATATGACCTTTGGCCTTTTCTCCTCCTGCGGTGGAACAAAACTGCTTTCCTTCCTGGCCTTTTAATCATCTTTGTTTCTTTTCTCACCACCCTCTTGAGGTTTATGACATCCTTTTTTGTTGGGTCACATCCTTTGTGGTCACAAGAGCCTACCCAGGCTACCAGGGCATTGAGAAAGGACCACCCCTCCCTCACCTAGGCAATGTGGCCACTGACTCTTTGGAGCAATAATCATTGTAGAGTTTCCATTCAAGCTGTGGTCCACTAGGACTGACATTATCTTTTTCCCTACCAAGGGTTCTATCTCCACTGAGGACGGAATGAGGGGATAAAGCAATAGTTGCTAGAAGTTGTGAAATCTTTCTTGTAAATTTCTTAAAACTGGGATGGCTCTGGGAGTTCCCTGGCAGTCCAGTGGTCAGTGGTTGGGACTCTGGCACCTTTTTTTTTTTTTTTGGCTGCTGTGGCCCTGGGTTCAATCCCTGGTCAGGGAACTAAGATCCCACAAGCCGCACAGTTCAGAAAAAAAAAAAAAACCAAACAGGGATGGCTTAGATCTAGGAGACAAACAGCGAGTGGAAGAGCTCCCTGCTCCTGCTGTCTTAATGGGTCTGGTTTCTTATAGTTGGGTACCTGGGAGAAAGCCCTTGGTGAGCCAAGACTAAACCCTCCACTGGGGCTGGTCTGCAGAGCTGGGGTGGGGTGTGGGCCTCAGGAGAGCCATCCTGAGTGGACTGGGTGTGACCTGGGAAAGCATGGCAGGAGCGTGGCACCCAGTCTGGATTTTGAAAGCCCCTTAGGGCTTCTGGTGAGCAAGTCTCAGCCTAAATAGACACCCACTGCTACAGAGATAAGCTGGGGCTTTTGGTCCTTTGGTGGATCTCTTACTCCCGTTGATGTAAAAGTGATTTATATGTTATTGAAGTGAATATACGCACACAGTTTAAAACCCCAGCAGCCCCTGGTTCCCACCCCTGGAGGAGCCCCTCGGTCTCCACGTGGAATTCAGGAATTGCTGTTTCTTACACTTGCTAGACATACCTTTGGCCTAGCTGTGACCACTGCTGAAGATCCGGCTGTTCACCCAGCCCAGCCCAGCCCTTTTCCCAGCTTCCCCTTCTTACCATTGTTCTCATGTATATGACCATTCCTGGCCTTCGGAGATGAGGCTGCTCCTTCCTGCTTTTGGTCTCAGCTGACAGAGGCACCCTGTGGCTTGCGTGAGTCCATCCAGTGTACAGTTCTGAGTCTGGGGGTCATCAGGAGCCTCCATTGTTCCTTTTTTTTTTTTAAACCCCTGAAAGGTCAGGTTGTTTGTTTTGAAAAGCAGCAGTTGTTGGGAGCTAAGCCCTACAGCAGCCTGGCTCAGCTATCAACAACAGTGTTGCATTTTCCCAGGGAAGTGTGGCCTCGCCCTGGGCCGGAGCTGAGCACCCCAAGCACTCCCATTCTTGGCACCCAGGATGCAGTCTCCGTGGGACCGAGTGCTTCTTTAGCCTTTTCTGTGCTTTTTATTTTGTTTTTTGTTTTTTCTGTGCTTTTTAGATTGCCCTTAGTGAGATCTTCTTTAGTGTATCAGAAAGAAGTTCATAATATGTGAACAGGGGAGGAGAGTGCCCTCTGCTCTGTGGAGGCCCCGACTCAGCACCCCCTCTGCCTTGCAGGTGGCCATGGTGGAGGTGCAGCTGGAGACGCAATACCAGTACCCGCGGCCGCTGCTTATCGCCTTCAGCGCCTGCACCACGGTGCTGGTGGCCGTGCACCTGTTCGCCCTGCTCATTAGCACGTGCATCCTGCCCAACGTGGAGGCTGTGAGCAACATCCACAACCTCAACTCCATCAGCGAGTCTCCGCACGAGCGCATGCACCCCTACATCGAGCTGGCCTGGGGCTTCTCCACCGTGCTGGGCATCCTGCTCTTCCTGGCCGAGGTCGTGCTGCTCTGCTGGATCAAGTTCCTGCCCGTGGATGCGCGCCACCAGCCGGGCCCCCCGCCCGGCCCCGGCGGCCACACGGGCTGGCAGGCTGCCCTGGTGTCCACCATCATCATGGTGCCCGTGGGCCTCATCTTCGTGGTCTTCACCATCCACTTCTATCGCTCGCTGGTGCGCCATAAGACCGAGCGGCACAACCGCGAGATTGAGGAGCTGCACAAGCTCAAGGTGCAGCTGGACGGGCACGAGCGCAGCCTGCAGGTGGTGTGAGCGCATGTGCTCCCGGGCACAGCTGCCGCTGCGTCTGCGTCACTTGGTGTGGACCGGAACTCGCCTGCCTCCTGGACAGTTTCAGACACGCGGAGGGCCCATAGGGCCGTCGAGTCACTCCCAGACGGTTCGAGACCAAAGTTCTACTCCTGTCTTAATGCTGTTAAGACCTGGCTCGTTTTCCCTCGGAAGATGGACCTCTTCAGTTAAAGGGGAGACTGATGGCCAAGAGCTGAGGGCAAAGAAAGACTGAGTCCTTGGACCTGGGGACTTCCAGAGGCGAGGAGGCCGGGCTCTGGGTTGTAAGGGGTGGTCACGGGTCCCCTCAGAGACTTGGACTAAGTGACCAGCTTGGGGCGGGAGCCTGGCAGGGGCCTATAGAGTCGGGGCAGCATCCTGAGTTCAGGGAAGGGATTGTACCCTGATCCCGGAGCTGGGCTGGTGGCAGCCTGGGGGCATGATGATACCACCCTGCTATGAATAGATGGGGCGCAGGATTAACAGCTTGGCCTTGTGCTTCCCTCCCTGCCCTGGAAGGAGTTGGGTGGCCTGGCTCCTGGGGCAGGTGAGGGCGGGGAGGCAGGAACCTGGGTAGGGCAAGTCAGTACAGCAAGTACATCAGACTAGTTAGGTCTTGGATGAGATGTCCAAGGTCTGAGGCCTGCGGGGTCGGGAGGCCTATCTCTGGGCATCCCAGGTGAGGTGCCCACTTGAGGTGGCTAACAGGGATGGCTTGAAGCAGCCTGAGCTCGAATTCTCTCTTCCCAGACAGCAGGATCCCTGGCCACACTGACCCAGCGAGGCCGCCAGGTTGGGGAAGGGGCCCACAGTCCAGAGACGTCCTCTCAACCCCAGATGGTCCCCTGAGCTGTCAGTCCTCCGAGCTGTGGCTACGGAGGGCAGGACACTGGCCAGGCAGCTGAACTCACCCATCTCCCTGCTGGCTGTGGCCCCAGCTGTGGGAGGGGGCGGCCTGGGGGACTTCCTATCTAGACAAGGCCGTGGCCTGGCCTGGTCCGTGGGTGGTGGTGTCAGAGGCCAGCCCTGGCCACATGTGGGTTCTGCTTATGACAGCAGGGAGACTGAGGTCCCATGTAGCGCTCCCTGGGGGCCCCCAGGTCTTCCGGCCACACCCACAGGCCCAGCTCATACTTCTACACAGCCGTGCACAGGTGTGGGTTCTGGTGTTTTCGAGAAGGGCATCTGGTAGACCTCAGCCCATGTCCTGGGGTAGAACACATACATGATACAGCTCAGCTTATCTGTGAGCTTGCTGTGCTCTGAGCTGCTTTTAAGAACCACATGTACCATACTGGCCAGCAGCCATCAGAAAGGGGTGCCTTTTCTTTTGTTTCCACAGTTATCAGACTTCATGTTCCGATGGCATTTCTGTCCACAGCCTAGTAGCTCTGTGGTGTCTGGGTTGTGAGTGCCAAGAAATGCTGGTGGGCCTTCCAAGGTTTCTGAGACTGTGACATACTGTTGAGAATGTAAACCTTAACACATCACTCTGAAATGCTGAGTACCATCAGTGCAAGTCGTGGCATTTACGGGGAGCCTGGACGTCGTGTCCTGCGGGGCCAGAGGTGAGCCTTGGCGCCTTCTGAAGGGCGTGTCCCTCATACTGACATCCTCTGCCGACATCGGTCGTGACTTGCTTGCGTCCTGGCGCATGTCTCCTTTCCTCTCCTGGAGCCTTGTTGAAAAGGCTTGTCTGGTTTAATGTGTTTGCTTTGTGCATGAATGTCAGCGTCACTGCAAGACCGCGACAGTGTGTCCTGGTAGGGACCAGACAGGCTGGCTCCTCCCCACTGCTGGAAGCAGGCAGCAGCCCCTTCCTCTAGTCTGAGCCTTTTGAGAGGGGCCTCACGGGGCTGACTGCGACCCGCTTCTCTGGGCCGCCTGGTGCCCCCTCCTGTGAGCCAGGCCCATGGCGTGCCCAGCTTCCCAAATCATGCCAAGCACACCCCAGGTGTCAGCCAGGAGCCCACTGTTAACGCCTGGCCCGTGGCGGTGGTGGGAGGGGGGCTTCCTAACCTGGCCACATCAGGGTCGGACACTAGGTGCCAGGGACAGTGCCACACGGGTAGGGAAGATGCCACATGACATATTTTAGACACTGATTAGGAGAACAATGTTCTTGTAATTTATTTTCATCCAGCGAGTTTTCTTGGCTCCAGCCTTTCTAGTTCCCAGAGGTGTGGGGCAAACAGTTTCTGTGAGAACAGAGATGACGGTGGGTTGGGGACTGGCGATGGGGGTCCCCTCAGGGCAGCCCAGAGCGTCCTCTGGGGCTGGAGAGTAAGCTACTATTTGGAGCCGCAGCAGGGCAGTCTCGGAAGGAGAGGGAAGCATATCTACAGGCTAGAAATTCGGTTTCTGGAGGTTTAACCTGATTGTGAAGAGGGTTCTGAGTACAGTGACCTCTCCATGGTGAGAAGAGCCAGTGTGGGCTTGCCCTATTTTCCTCTGAAAGGAGCCTTCCTGGTGCTCATAAAACAAATGCCCGCAGATACACAGAGGCCGTTTCCAAAGTGGAACACAATCTCCATTTAGTACCTGACCAGAAGCAAACGCAAGGGTTTCTATTTTGGACAAACTGCCAGGGCAGAATGTATTTCAGTGTCTTCTAGGGAAATCCGTGCAGGACAAAACCACGCAAGCCTGAGTGGATTGAGGCTCATTTACGGACCTTATCTGTCTTCTGCTGAGAAATGCACTGTGCATGATGTCATGGAGACCACATGTGGTGTATGCAACCCACCCCCACCCCCCATCCTGTATATGGAGTTTTTAAAAACAGTTGCCCTGGAGTGAACTGAATAAATAAAGCTATAACCTGCTCTCTGCTCTTGGTGGGAGGCCACAGGGAGAGGGGATACTCAGAAGCCCCTGCTCCAACCACTGGTCACCAGTGCCCCAACAGGTTCCCAGGTGAGGGAGATAGAGGCCCCCTTATTGGACACTTCTGTCCTTTACTATTTTTAAAACATTAAAGAAAAAAAAAATTCTTTTGATTTTTTGGCCATACTGTGCAGTATACGGGATCTTGGCTCCCCAACCAGGGATTGATACCATGCCCCCCTGCAGTGGAAGCAGAGAGTCTTAACCATTGGACCACCAGGAAAGTCACTATTATTGTTCTGAATGTTCTGGCACTTCAACCCAGAGGACCAGCCTGCCTCTATAGCCCAAGACGACTCTCCAGGCCCTAGGGGACCCCAGAAAAGGCCTGGGCTTAGCACAGATCTTTGGGCCAGCAAGCCCACTCTGACCATTTCCTGGGTGAGCTCAGCCAGCCTGCAGAGACGGGCCTGACTCGGATGCCTCCAGAAGGGCAAAGGGAGAGGGCAGACAGACCAAGGCTAGAGACTCCTCCCCAGGCCCATTAAGAACCTGCTGAGCTGTCTTTCCAGCCCCTGCCGTCCCTCCCAGGCTCCTGGGGACACAGTCAGGCGAGTTTTGCACCCGTCTCTGCAGGAAGAGCCTAGAGAACACTGCCTGGCCTCAGCTCAAATGGGGCCCTCTGTTGGCAGAGCACCCTGCAGGCTCCATCCAGAGGCCGGGCTGCCCCGAGGCCCAGCCTGCCAAGACCCCAGTGAGCAGACCACCGGGTCTGTGAGCCTGCTTGGCAGCTGATGTGGCAAGAGGGGCTGGAGCTCTGGCTGCCTTGCCCAAGCGCCACCCTGACGGGTGTGAGGGCTAGTGGGGAGGTCACAGTACCTGAGGAGCAGCAGTCCCCACCAGTCGAGGTGTCTGGAAGCCCACTGCCCCCCACGGCTGGCCGCTGGGCCCACTCAGCCCTTCTGTTGGGCCTCTGCCAGGGCCACTATGCAGACAGTGCAGGGTGGCCAGTGGCTCTGCATGCCTGACAGCTCTTAAAAAGTTCCAGAGTGACAGTGAAAACCAGTGCTGTGAATGTCTCCAGGCTGTGATGGGGCGCTGGTCCCCCAAGTGTGGCTCCCAGCATGTGGCTGGTGGGCCAGGTAGATTGTCATATAAGCAGCAGGAGACCAGGCTGGCCCGCCATGCTGTCCGCCTCCACAGGCTGCTCCTCACCTGGCCGCGGGGGACCGCCGCCCGTCCAGGTCAGCACCTCACAGCACTGACGCCAGGCAGTGAGCCACCCTGTGCTGTCCTGGGGGCTGAGGAGGCCCCTCCACAACTTCTAACATCACTGGGGGTGGGGGGCCCAGACTCCCAGCAGATTGCCCCATCACCACACCGCACACCCCATGGAGTCAAGCATGACCTGGGCAGAGCCGGCTCAGAAGCTGTCAGCAGTCCTGACATCTGAAACAATAACCACCTCACATCCTCTACCAATCCACTCTCCAATCCAACACGCTCCCTAAAGGAGGGGCTTGGGAACTCCCGGGCAGTCCAGTGGTTAGGACTCGTCGCTTTCACTGCCGTGGCCTAGCTTCAATCCCCAGGTCAGGGAACTAAAATCCTGCAAGCGGCATGGCACGGCCAAAAGTAAATAAGTAAAATAGTAAATAAATGTGGGGCCTGCAGGCTGGGATATTCTGCAACCTTGTTGTTATTCAGTGGCTCAGTGATGCCCGACTCTGCGTCTCCATAGACTGCAGCACGCCAGGCTCCTCTGTCCTTCACTGTCTCCCAGAGTTTGCTCAAATTCATGTCCACTGAGTTGGTGATGCTACCTAGCCTCTAACCTCGGTTACCCTCTGACCTCATTAAGACAGATGGATAAAGGAGAAAACAGCCTTAAGGAGCACCAACCATTTTTAAGCTCAAATTAGGCCACTGCCCTCAAACTGTGACCAACAACCCAAACAAGTGGCCACCGCGCAGGTCAAAAGGGACCGACTTGAGGCCCCTCACCGTGAAACCATCCCGGGCAGGGCTTGAGCTGCGCTGTGCCAGGGCGTGTGTCCGACGGTCTCCCCTTAAGACCTGAGAAAGACCCTGGTGCTGGGCGCCCCCTTCGATGCTGGCCAACGGTCCGCTCGGGAGCCAGCGCATCCGCCAGGCCCAGCTGCCAGCTCCCCGTCCTGGTGGCTCACGTGGTGGGTCTCCCATGAAAGGAGAGCGCCATTTGCAGGAGTTCCTGCCCCAGTTCCTGCTGCTTCCCTCCGGGGCCGAACTCCGAAGATAGCTCCCGAAAGGTGACGCCCACGCGCCGGGCCCTGACGTCTCGCCGGTGGATGGCGTGCTTCCACTGGTGCCGCGCGCCTCCCCTGAGCACCACCAGGGAGCGGCGGGGCAAGGCAACCGCCACCTCCACCTCCTGGCACGGGACGGACCGGCTGGGGGCCATCGCGCCGTCCGCCAGGGCCTCCGGGAAGCCGGATGGGGCCAGGCAGAGCAGCAGGCTGCCGGGCGCCTCCCGGGACATGGAGAGCACGGTGGGGGACAGCAGGTTGAGGCTCACCAGCCTCTCCCCCCACAGCCAGGCGTCGTCCAGGTGGGGGTCTATGGCCGAGCCCCGCTCCGGGCAGTAGTCCAGGTTGCACTGCTCCACGGGCCGGAAGTCCTCCAGGATGGGGTACAGGCCCATCCGCCGCACCACCTCCCGGCTGAAGCTGGGGAGGCCTCGGAAGCCGGCCATCTTTAGCTTCTGCTTCCGGAAATTGACTTTGGGGCCGTAGTCCTGGAGGATGAAGACAAAAAGGAAGCAGGGGGCTGGCTGAGTTTACGGAAATGGCATCACACGCCAGGGCGGAAGAATCCAATCACAGACACCAAGACAAGCCACGATGTCTGACTTCGTGGATCGGACATTTTGGCAGGAGACAGACACCACAGAGATAAATACAAATAGCAGCACCAGGTGGCGGTAAATGCCGAGGATAAAAACAGAGCAGGGGCAGCGGATGCGAAGTGGCGGAGGACGTCTCAGCCCAGGCACCTCAGGAAGCAGAGCCTGAGCCCCGTGTGTGGGTGGTGTCCCCCCGACGCGGTAGCCAGGAGTCAGGGCCTGGGGAGGAGGAGTAGCCAGGCAGGGCAGGTGGGAGGGCGGCCCGCCCAAGGCCGTGTTACCCAGCTGGTCAACACTGGGCAGAGCTGGGCTTCAAGACCACAAGGGAGGAGAGTTCCCCAAGCACCCAATAGAGGTTCTACTTCTGGTCTCACTGAAGAGAATGGAAACACATGTCCACATAGAAACCTGTACCCTAATGTTCACAGCAGCACTACTGAAAAAAGTCAAACAGTGGGGACCTCCCTGGTGGTCCAGTGGCTAAGACTCTGAGCTCCCAATGCAGGGGGCCCGGGTTCTATCCCTGGTCAGGGAACTAGATCCCACATGGCGTAACTAAGAGTTCATATGCTGCAACTAAGACTCGGTACAGGCAAAAAAAAAAAGTCAGAAAGTGGAAACAACTCGTGTCCACCAGCCGGTGAATGATGAACAGAGAGTGGTCTATCCATACAATGGAATAATGCCGAGTCACAAAAAGCAGTGAAGTCCTGATACAGGGTGCAAAGCGATGAACCCTGAGAACGTGCTCGGTGAAAGATGCTGGACACAGAGGCTCATACCCCAGTTATAGGAATGTCCAGAACAGGCCAACCCACAAAGACAGAGAGCAGGTAAGCGGTTGCTGGGGGATAAGGGAATGCAAACTGACTGGCAGTGGGTGTGTGGTTGCCCTGGGGTGATGAGAATGTTCCAGAAATAGACAGTGGTGATGGCTGCACAACACTGTGGCTACACTGAAAATCAAAGCACTGAATCATACACTTGAAATGGGGGATCTTACGGTAGGTGACTTCCATCTAAAAGGAAAAAAAAAAACACGAGAGAGGAGCCCTGCAGCTCAGATCTGAGGGGTGAAAGGGGAGCATGAATACACACTCCTGCTCCCTGGGGTCCCCTCCAGTGGAGGGTGGCCCCACCTGGTGGTAGAGTCAGGCCAGCTGGCTCCTTCAGGTCACCCCGACCCGTCGGCAGCAGCTGGCAGAAGGGCCACAGGCAGAAAGAGAAGCCGGAGCCTGAGGATTCCCTGGGAGGCTGGGGCGACTGCTGTGGGGAGAGCAGCCGCGGAGACATGGCTGGGCTGGCGGCCAGCAGAGGGCCTTTCAGGGCACGGGAAGGCCTGTGTTCACGCTGAGATGAGAGCCCCGGAGGGCCTGCAGCAGAGCGGCGACTGACCAGATGGTGGGATCACTTCCTACTGAGGCCAGCTGAGGAGGGGCGATGGCTGCGCAGGGAGTGTGGGAGGCAGGTGGGAGCAGTGGCCAGGGGTGAATGTTCTCAGATTCAGGACGTGTTTTAAAAGAGTGAAGAGCTGACAAGAATCACCAGTGAAAGACAGAGAGGACTATGGAAAGATCCAGGGTTTCTGGTCTGAGTAGGTGGAAGGTGGAATGTGCCAGCTCAGCTCAGGGTTGACAAACAGGAGAAGCTGGGGCTGAAGATACGAGCACGTGAGCCCTGGAATTGTGGGGCTGGGCCTCGCTGAGATCAGCTAGGGATGTCTGGAGAGGGAGGAGAGGCCTGAGCCTGAGAACCAGCCGCTGGGTTTAGGGGTGGGGGTCAGCGATGAGGCAGTTTCAGAGTGGGTTAAGGGCAAGCAGGAGGAGAGGAGCTGAATAGAACAGCTGCCTCTTTTGAGAAGTTCTGCTTTAGAGATGAGAAATGCACCTTCCTGGGAGGCCGGTGGGAGAGAGCCGACCTTGAGAGAAGGGAGCTGGACAAGGGCTTCTGGGAAGCAGCAACCAGCCCGAGGCTGGAGAGGGGCTCGGAGGGAAGTGGGGCACAGGAGAAAAGGGAACCTTGGTAGATCCGTCTGTTTTCTCGGAGAGGTCCGGTCATCACTGGACAGGGAGGAGGGAGCTAGGACTGGAAAGACAGCAGCAAAGCCAATGACCTGGGGAGGTCAGCACGGCTCTGAGCACGAAGGGCCCGGCTCAGGATGGAGAGCCAGAGCCCGGGGGACCACCTGGGGGTGGGCGTGGGGGCTGGACCCGACCAGGGCTGTGGGTGAGCAGAAGGAGTCTGACAAAGTGAGAGGAGAAAGGGTGAGGGACACCCGAGGAAGTGCCTGTACTAACTGGCTGGGCGGGCGGGGGGAGTTGGGGGGTTGGGCGTGGGCAGGGAACGTGGAAAGGGGGCCGATGGCTGTCTGGAGGGGGCGAGGATTGCTGGAGATGAGAACAGAGGAGACAGGAGTGGACCCAAGGAAAAGGGGCTGTGATCCCAACAAAGGGAAGGTTCAGGGTTTGGAGGCCAAAGTGTTGGTAGGAACAGGCGTGAGGAGATTCATAACTGACAGGGAGAACTGCCGACGGGAGTGGCGGCATCTGGCAGCACTCCACAGGGCTTCCCCGGGGGCTCAGTGGTAAAGAATCCGCCTGCTAATGCAGGAGACACAGGTTTGACCCCTGATCCAGGAGGATCCCACATGCCTCAGAGCAATGAAGCCAGAACTGTTGAGCCTAGTGCTCTAGAACCCAGGAGCCGAAAGTACTGAAGCGCCTAGAGCAACAAGAGAAGCCACTGTAATAAGAAGCCCTCGCACCGCAACTAGGGAGTAGCTCCTGCCTGCTGCAATCAAGAAAAAAGCCTACACAGCAATGAAAACCCGGCACAGCCAAAAATAAATAAAATAATTAAATTAATTAATTAAAGAAAGAAGCACTCCATGAGAGTCACTGGCACCAGGCCAGCTGGGGAGAGGGCAGAGAGAGCTGGGTGGCCGTCTGCTTCTGAGCCCCAACTCACAGGAAGGTAAACAGGCCATGTTCTGGGCCCTTCCCCAGCACGCCCTATTCAGCAGCCCTGCCCTCCCGCACCCCTAGGTCAGCTTGTCCGCTAATGGCTCTGGGGTGTAGCTGCAGAGGCAGGCATGGAAAAGGAGGGAAGATCGGGGGCTCCAGGGTCAGGGGCTTGGCAGGCTCTGTGACCTGACTGCCCTCTCTGGCCCGCCAGCCTGGCCCTCCTTCCCCAGCCCTACTCTGGCCCCGCCTACCTGCTTCCTCCGCCCAGACTGGGACAGCTTCCAGGGGTCGCGGTCCATCAGCTGCACCATCTCGGCTTCTTCCTCCGGGGTCACGAAGTCCTCGATCAGGGTCACGCCCGGGAAGGGGAAGGCCCAGCCTTCAAAGTCAGACTCCTCGGCCCCCACGGCCCAGCCGGTGTCGGGGTAGTAAATGAACCGGTGTGTTTTCTGCAAAAGAAAGACAGGGGTATCAGAGCCTCTGGACCCCTGGCTCACACTGCACACGTGCCCTAAGAAGCTGCCCCACCCAGTGGTGCACCCTCCTCGCAGCACTTTGTGAGGCAGCTGGCATCTACCAGGAGGCGGGACCCCCGCCCAGCCCCTGCCTTGCTGACTTTCTCCTCTGTAAAAAGGAAGAGAGTACACAGGACCAGTCTGTCGTCTTCCACCTTGCAGGTGAGGTGACTGAGGCTCAGCAAAGTTAAGGAACTAGCCCAAGGCTGCAGCCTCCAAGGCCACACTGTTCCCGTGTCACCGTGGGCACTGTCTATCCCCCCCAGGCTAGTGAGGCCTGTGTGAAGGCCGACGGCCCTGATGGGGAGCATCTCCCCGTCCCAGGAAATCTGCTCCTCTAAAGCGGAGGCCTCGGGCTGCCCAGGGGGTGAGCACACATGCTGGGAGACCAGAGGGAGAAGCTCTATCCAGCCGCAGTGGGGGTGTTGCTGGGGCCTCCCTGAATTTCTCATCGAAAAAGAACAGAGGACTTCCCAGGTGGCTCGGTAGTAAAGAATCCACTTGCTGACACAGGAGACGTGAGTTCAATCTCTGATCCCAGAAGATGCCACACACGGTGGAGCAGCTAAGCCGGTGCGCCACAACTACTGAGCCAGTGCTCTAGAGCCTGGGAGTGGAAACTAGTGAGGCCCGCGCGCCCTAGAGCCTGTGCTCCGCAACAAGAGAGTAGCCCCTGCTCGCCGCAACTAGAGAAAAGCCCACACAGCAATGAAGACTCAGGAGAGCTGAAAATAATATAAAAAATGAATAAAAAAGAAGAGCAGAACTTGCCAGTCAACTAGAGGAGTACCAGACTGACAACCTCCTGCGGCAGGGCCTCCGGCCAGTGACCCGACACAAGCCCGGCCAGTTACCAGGCAGTCTTTGCTCTGGAGCTTCCGGTTGGGTGAGCCAAGACTTCCTCACATCTACGCAGCAGTCAGAGGTGCTCCCTGCCCAGTGCCCCCGCCTCCTCCCTGTTTATGTTTTACAGGCACTGCCAGCACGCCTGACTCTGAACAACCGCATCTCCCTCCTGGCACCTCACTCAGGACACACAGAAAATAAGGACTCCTCCTGTACATTTCACTTGTTCCTCAGGCATCAGGTTGGGAAGACGCTACCTGCTGCAGTGCCTGGAACCTCCACACCCTCGGCCATGAGCACAAGTTCAGACCTCTGGTGAGGTCTGAAAAACTTTTTTTTTTTTTTTTTAAAGAAAGTAATTGTATGGCTGATTCATGTCAATGTATGGCAAAAACCATACAATATTGTGAAGTAATTAGCCTCCAACTAATAAAAATAAATGGAAAAAAAAAGAAAGTAATTGTGGTGAAATATATACAACCATGTATATTTTATACCTAAGACTGATCCTCAACCATATTTTACGTGCACAGTTCAGTGTTGAGTATATCACACGGTCGTGCAACCAATTTCCGGAACTTTTTCATCTAGCAAAAGTCTACCTGTTAACTTAAGAGAAGGAACTTGCGGTTGCCGGGGCTGGGGGCTGGGGGGTAGGGGGTAAGGATGGGGTAGAGGGATAGTTAGGGAGTTTGGGATGGACATGTGCATGCTGCTACATTTAAAACTAATGAGGTCCTCCTGTATAGCACAGGGAACTCTGCTCAATGTTATGTGGCAGCCTGGATGGGAGGGGAGTTTGGGGGTGAATGGATACATGTATATGCATAACTGAGTCCTTTCTCTCTCCACCTCAAACTATCACAACACTGTTAATCAGCTATACTCCAATACAAAATAAAAAGTTAAGAAAAAAAGAGAGAAAGTCTGTCCGTTACACACCACATCCGCTCTCCTTTTCCCCTAGCCGCTGGATCCACCACTCTCCTTCCTGTCTCGGTGACTCTGACTACTTTAGATGCTCTTCCTGAGTGGAATCATACAGTATGCCTGTGACTGCGTTATTTCACTCAGCATAACGTTTTCGGGTTCATTCGTGTTGTAGCACGTGCCAGACTTTCCTTTCTTCTTTTCTCAGACTGAATAATAGTCCATTGTATGGATGGGCCGCATTTTGTTCATCCTTTCATCTCTCCATGGACACCTGGGTTGCTTCTATGTTTTAACTATTCTGAGTAACTCTGCTATGAACATGAGTGTACAGAAATCTCTTCAAGACACTGCTTTCAATTCCTTTGGGTCCATATCCAGAAGTGGGATTGCTGGGTCATATGGCAGCTCTACTTTTAATTTTCTGAGGAACTGCCACTGTTTTTCACAGGACCTTCTGAGCGTCTATCAGGGATACCGTGACAGTTTCTTCACTGGCTTCCCAGCCCCCTTTCCTTCTTATCCACTCCTTCCCCTCAGAGGAACTTTCGAAGGTTCACATGTGATTTTACCTTTAAAACCCTCAGGAGCTCACCATCGCCCTCAAGAGGAGACCAGCCTGCCTTCCGTGGTGAGGCCCCACCGGCCTCATCTCCCTTACCTGACGCATCACCCACCTTCCCCAGGCCTCGGCCCAAACAGTTCCCCAGCTGGAAGACCCTTGCTCTGCTCAAAAGCTCTGAGTCCTTCTTTGTTAATTCGTAGGATTAAGGAATCTCATTTCCGTCCAATGCCTTCTGGGACCCTTTGCTCTCTTTTAGTCGTCTTCCCACGGGCCGGTGAGGTTCCCAGCCCGACCAGGGGCGGGGGGGGCAGTGGCTACGTCTGCTATCACACTACCCCCAAGTTCCATAGGTGAGCCGCGGCCGGACTGCACCGACGTCCCAGCCCCTTCTTCACTCCAAACCCACTCCTCAAATCCCTCATCGCTTCACCTCGCAACGCCCCAATCTTCAGGGCCGCTGACAAGGTCTCATCCGGAACCTGTCTTCAGGGCCAAGTTGGGCCTCAGTTTCCCCACACGAAGGAGTTGTGGGCGCATCCCCTCTCCCATCCCTCACCTGCGAGGGGTGCTGCCAGGGCGGGTCACCTCCGCGCTGCCGCTCGCAGATCAGACAGGTCCTGATGCCCTTGCAGCCGCATTCCCGAAGGACCTCGGGAGGCGCCACCGCCGCAGCCGCCATGGAGGCGTCACGGCAGCTAGGGCGCAGGTGCGGGGCCGCGGGGGCCGCTGGGAGTGGTAGTCCGTGCGCAGGGCGCCAGGTTCGCGGGGCCGCTTCCTTCCGGTGGTCGCCGCCGCGGACGGATTCGCGCGGCGCCACCTCCTGGACTGAGGCAGACGCTGGCGCCTGCATCGGATACGCGTTCTGCATCGCAGGACCCCGCCGCTTTCGCGCCTTCTCGCCATGGCCCCCCTCTCGACGCGGCTGCTGATCCAACGGGGGCGACCCAAGAGCGACCGGCTGGGGAAGATCCGGAGCTTGGAGTAAGGGCCGGGGCCACACTGCCCGCCACCGGGGCCTGGGTGACGGGCAATCGGAAAGAAAGCCTGGGATCCTTTTTCTCTCCCTTCCCGGCCCCGTTATCACCTCGTCTTTAAACAGTCGGGCGAAACGCGGTTCTCTCGTTATGAGATGGATCGGGGCGGGTTGGGGGGATTCTGGAGCGGCGTTGCCCTAGAAGAGGGCCTGGGCTGCTAGGGAGACAGTCTTGCAGAAAGAATATGGAGCAACCTGTTGAGAGAGTTACAGGGGAGCTCAGAGAGCCCCCCTAGAGGATCAGGAAAAAGCCTCTTGGAGGTAGCCAGCTGCTTCAAGTTCTAAAGTAGTTATAAATGGAGGGGATGTTGGGGATCAACTGCACAGGCAACAAGAAATATCAAGAGAAAAGCCTTCGGAGGCACCTGGGCTGCCGTGGGTGTGGGGTGGAAGTCGGTGGGCCTGGCCCCTGAGCCCGCCCTGTTTGCGCCTCCCCCCAGCCTGTCAGGGCTGAATCTGCTCTCAGAGGACCTGGACATCAAGCTTCTGAGTCGCTTGAAGCAGCTACAAGAGCTGGACCTCTCCAACAACCAACTGGAAACGCTGCCCGCCGACCTGGGCCTGCCCCACCTGCAGGTCCTCCACTGCGCCAACAACCAGCTGAGCGACATCACCCCCCTCTGCCAGTTCCGGCAACTTGAGGAGCTCGGCCTGGAGGGCAACCCCTTCCTGACAGTAAGCAGCAGCCCCAGGCACTCGATGGGCTGGGGCTCAGCCACAGATTGTGCGCAACCCCGAGCCACTCTGCCCTCATCCCTCAGGTCAGTGACAGCCTGAAAGTCACCTTCCTCCTGCCCGAGCTCCGTAAGTTCAACGGCAAGGATGCTTCCACCACTCGCTCCAAGGCGGAGAACCTGAACCGGGAGCTGACCACCAGGGTAAGGAGCTAGGAGGTGTCCCTGGTACTCGGAAGCCTTGAGGAGTGAGTGGCAGAATGGGGTATTTGGAGGACACCGAGAGGGGCTACAGCGGCCCTCAGACCCTACCCTGACCCAGGGCTCTGAGCTTGGCTGTGGTGCTTGGCCTCTTGTTCTTGTGCAGGCAGGAGATGTTGAGACGCTTTCACGGTGATGCTACATTGGGCCAGCTTTTCCCTTCAGGGGCTGTGTCTCTCTGTGGCTCGCTTGGGTTTGTGGAGCGTGCAGCCGAGAAGGCTGTGGCTCCTGGAGGCTTCCCAGAGGCGATGAGTGCGACACCTCTGATCGTTAGAGACAGAGGCGCCATGGAAGATCCAGGAGAGCTGGGCTGGCCTGAGCCTGAACCTGGTCCCTCTCGTGCCAGGTCGCAGCTCACTGGAAGAAGTTCATGGCCGCACTGAGCCCAGAGGAGCAGGCAGAGGCCCAGGCAGACTTTGTGAAGTCGGCTGTCAGGAGCGTCCGCTACGGGCCCCTGTCCCTCAGCGAATTCACCCAGTGGCGGGTATGCCCTCACGCTGCTGTGCTTCCAGGCGGCTCTCCCAGCTCCTTCCTCCCTGGCACCCACAGCCTGAGTCGCCCTGGACGTTTCTGACCACAAGAGGACGTGGGGAATAGGGCAGGTCAGGGAAGGTGGCCCTGGGGGCTGGAAAGACCCTTTTGCAGCTGACTGGCTGTCTGGGAGGGGCTGGAGGCCCCGGGACTGTGCCCAGCTTCCTGACGGCCTGCTCCCACCAGGTGCGGATGATCTCTGAGGAGCTGGTGGCCTCTGGTGGACCCCACATGCGTGAGGCAGACACACAAGAGGGGTGCCACAAAGCCACAGCTACCCAGGAGCCCAGGGTGAGTGGTTCCGTGGGGCTCTCAGGCTCCGTGGGCCTGCCTTGGCCCTTCTTGCCTCAGGAGGTATTAGGGAAGCGGGGGTCCTTGAGATGTGCCCAGGAGATGGGCTCCTGTGCTTGAGTGAGTTTCCTCTGACCCTGGTACCCCTTGCCTCCCATACCCCAGGAGGGTGAAGTTCAGTCTGTGACAGGGTGGAGGCAAGCCCCGGGCAAATGGGTGTCCAGTCACCACACCTCAGCCTGCCCCTGCCCCCTCCTCCACAGGCCAGGCCAGTGGCCTTGAGGCGGCCAGGTGACACCCCACTCAGCCTCTCCCCCGAGAAGCGGGTGTGCGCCTCCCCGTTGGGCCCGGTGGAGGGCAGCCTTGTGGGCTCTGACAGTGGCCAGGTGAGCCCGCGTGGTGGCAGGGAGGTACGAGGCGGGAGAAGGGCTGGGCAGCCGTGACCGCGCTCTGTCCCCACCCCTGTCCTGCAGCTGGAGCCCCTGCACTTCCTGCAGTGCCACAGCAAGAACAACAGCCCCAGCGATCTGAAAACCCAGCTCTGGGCCTGCGCCTTCGAGCCGGCCTGGGACGAGGGTACACCCTTGGGGGGCAGGCCAGCCGAGGGCCGCGGGGCAGGGGCCCTGGGAATGCCGCCTGTAGGGGCTATCTGGGAGGGTGGGGAGCAGGGAGGGACAGAGTGCTTACAGTGTCATTAAGGTCAGGAGGAGCGACTGCCATGGACAGCTGAAAATGTTTTCACCAGATTGACCTCCCAAACAGGGCAGGCAGGGGCCACATCCCAGACCGTGGCCACGTGTGGCGGGGAGGCCGTGTGTGTGATCGACTGCCAGACGGGCCTTGTGTTGCACAAGTACAAGGTGCCTGGTGAGGTGAGTGCCAGCACCTGGCTCCGCAGGGTGGTGGGCAGAGCCGTGGCTGCTGGGGACAGGAGTGCCGAGGTCGAGGGGCCAGACTCTCTCGCCGGCTCACCAGGTGGCCTTTGTCTTCAGTGCTGGCCCGCGGTTCCCAGGTAGCTCTGCCCCTCGGTGACTGCTCCCCTCCCCGCCCCAGGAGTTCTTCTCCGTGGCCTGGACCGCCCTGACGGTGGTCACACAGGCCGGCCACAAGAAGCGCTGGAACGTGTTGGCAGCCGCGGGCCTGCGTGGGCTGGTCCGGCTGCTGCACGTGCAGGCCGGCTTCTGCTGTGGGCTCATCCGGGGCCACAAGAAGGCCATCGCCACCCTCTGCTTCAGCCCCACCCACGAGACCCACCTCTTCAGTAAGACCCTCTTCTCCCAAACCTCCCAGGACTCCCCTGGTACCTGTGTCCTGGAGCCTGGCACCCCAGGGCTCCTCCCCAGGGTGGTGCGGAGTGCCTCTAGCTGGCAGGCCTCACACCAGCTCCCAAGGTCAGCTCAGACTGCAGCAGGAAGCACAAGGCTTCAGGGACAGCTTACCTGGCTTTGGGTTCTGTCTTGTTCCCCCAACCTGCCCTGCGGCCTTGGAGGTTTCTCAAAGCCAGGGCGGTGTCTCATCTGGGTGGGTACCCCCAGCTCTCTGGGTGTGGTGAGGTGGTATCTGAGCCGTAGCTGCCTGGTGTGGGGCACATTCGGTTCAAGCAGGATAAGGACAGGGGGCCCGGGAGTCCTGTCTCCCAGCCTCGGGAACCCAGTCTCCACCGGGATGCGGCCTACAGGAGGGAGCGGGGCCTTCTCAGGGCCACCTCTCTCCTTCCCGTCCCCTCGCCAGCGGCCTCCTACGACAAGCGCATCATCCTCTGGGACATTGGGACACCCAACCAGGACTATGAATTCCAGGCCAGGTGACGCTGCGAGGCAGGATGGCCCGGGATGGGGGGTGGGCACACCCGAGTCTGTGGCCTCACATCGTCCCTTCTCTCACATGCTGGCAGCCACCTGCTCACACTGGATACCACCTCCACCCCGCTGCGCCTCTGCCCTGTTGCCCCCTGCCCGGATGCCTACCTGCTGGCTGGCTGCGAGAGCGGCTGCTGCTGCTGGGACGTGCGGCTGGACCAGCCCCAGAAGAGGAGGTGAGTGCGGGCAGGGGGTGCCCAGAAAGCCCGTCCTCAGAGCCGAGCAGCTGCAGGTCCAAGGCTCTGACCCCAGGCACAGCTGCCAGGGGCAGTGCCTGCACCATGCCCCCTGCTGGGCAGCCCCCGAGGCAGTTTCCAGGGCCTTCTTCGCAGAGCTAGCCTGTCCGCACCTCCTGCTCATCTCTCGAGGAAAGATCACATCTCCCAGCACCCCAGGCTGAGATCACCTCATCACTGCCCGGGTCCTGCCACTCGCCAGCTGTGGGACTTTCCCTTGTCCAGCATGATTTCCTCATCTGCGAAGTGGGGACAGTAACTCACACCCCAGGGCTAGCTGAGGGCAAGGGGGATGGTGTCTGGGCTGGGACGAGGCCCCAGGAAGGCCAGATTGAGGCTTGTGGCTCCTGGACCCTGGGAGGAGGCAGTGCTCGGCAGGGAAGCCCTGCCCTCGACGGTGCCAGAGCCTGGGGGAGGAGACAGGTGTTAAAACCACACAAGGCGTGATTGACATCAGCGACGAATAAAGCGCTTCGAGAGGAGCAGGGAGGCTCGGGACTCTGAGGTGACCAGTGGCAGATGCACAGGTCCTCAGGCCTGTTCTTCACAAGCCCCAAGGGTCAGGTGGGCAGACGGAGGGAGGGTCTTCTCACAGAGGGAAGCGCAAAGGCCAGGGGCAGGGGGAGCTGGCTGACCAGGGAGGTCTGGCCACAGCTTGGGAAACTGGAGGGAAAGCAAGGGCGAGGTTGCCTGGGCCCCGGGAGACCAGGCCTGTGGGCCCTGGTGATGTACTGAATTTTAACCTGAGTGCAGGGATAGTCTGGGGAGAATTTGAGGGCAGGTGGCTGGGGAAAACTGCAGCGACATCTCGGCACAGACCAGCTGCCACCGGGCAGTGGTCCAGCCAGCTGTTGGTAGCAGTCCCTGCCTCCTCCCTCCCTGCCCACCCACGTCTGCCTCCTCCCCAAGTCCTGTGACGTCTTCTCTGCATCTCAGATGTGTCTGCCTCTTGGGCTTGGTATTTGGCTGCCTTTTGTGGATCTCGGACTCTGCTGGGAGCCTCTCCAAGCAGTGTGACCCCACACTCTCAGCCGCCACTCTGCACACTGCCCTCGGCGTCAAGAGCAAACCCCTGCCCCTTGGCCAGCGAACTGCTCACCTCATTCAGCCCGAGGCGCGGCCAGGCTTCAGAGCCCTTCCTGGCGGCGCCCCCACCCCACCGCCTCCCGCTGGCTCCCCCTTCCAGGGCCTGGATGGACCAGGGGTCCCGAGGAAGTGCCCGGCAGGGATCTGAGTGCCCAGCTTTGATGTGTGACTCTTCCTGCAGCCTTCTAGGCTGACCAGCATTTCCCGCTGCCCCGCAGGGTGTGTGAAGTCGAGTTCATCTTCTCCGAGGACTCTGAGGCATCGGGACAGAGGGTGGACGGGCTGGCGTTCGTGAACGAGGATGTTGTGGGTGAGTGAGCCCAGCTCTGGGGACAGTCTGGCTTCTTGGGACGCCGCTGGGCCCTGGCCAGGCCTTCTGGGGTGAGTTCTCTGTGGGCAGGGGTTTAGGTCCAAGGGCTTCTGAGGGGGCCCTCACTGTGGACCAGGAAGTGTCTGGAGAAGGGGCCCCCCCAACAGGCATAGCTTTTCCTTCTCCCGTCAGCCTCCAAGGGGAGCAGCCCGGGCACCATCTGCCTGTGGAGCTGGAGCCAGACGTGGCAGGGCCGGGGCAGCCAGCCCACGGTGGCCGTGGTGGTCCTGGCTCTGCTGCAGTGGTCGCCCACCATCCTTGCCTACTTCTCCCTCAGCACCTGTCCTGGTGAGTGGCCCCCTTTCCCCCCCCACCGCCCCCCGAGTTCTGCCCCACCTAAGACTCCATCCCTGTCCTGACAGACAAGGGGCTTGTGCTCTGCGGGGACGAGCAGGGCAGCGTGTGGATCTACGACGTCAGGCCCCTCCTGGCGCAGTGCTCACCGCCGCAAGCCGCCGTGCAGGCCCCCACGCAGGTAGGCACGCGGGGGGCCGGTGCTGCCCGGGGGCCCTGCTCAGGAAGCAGTTGCTCAGAGCTCCCTCTTCCCCCCAGATCCTTAAGTGGCCCCAGCCCCAGGCGCTGGGCCAGATGGTGACCAAGACGATGGTGAACACAGTGGTGGCCAACCCCACCTTTACCTACCTCACGGCGCTGACAGACTCCAACATCGTCGCCATCTGGAGGAGGTGCGAGCCCTGAGTGTGGGCCGCCTCGTCACAGGGCCCCAAGGACACAGCTTAACTTATTCAGTTTTGGGGGTAGTGACGGGGTCTTTGTATCTGAGATTGTTGTTTTTATTAAACGTTACTTCGTAAGAGAAGCCTGGAGAGAGATCTCTGTGGGCCCCATCCCTGTGCTGAGGGAGGCAGGCCGGCTGGCCCTGCAGCTGAGGCTTCCAGAGCAGACTCCTGGAAGCACATGGGTTTTCAGTTCCCTTCTGCTTGAGACAGCATCTGGCAGCCCCAGGTTCCCAGGGTTTGTTCAGAATGAGTTAGCTCCTGCCACCCTCTCAGACACACATCAGGTCTGTGGGCTAGACCACTCTGAAATGAGGCCCCCAAGTGGCGTCAGAACAGGTCCACTACCTCCACTGAGCTGACGGTCCGTTTGCTGTGAGGTCATCTCTGCTCAGCCCATAGCTGGGTTGTTTCTGGCCACGCTTTATTAGAAAGATAAAACAGACTCTCTGTGTACAGGACGCATTCGTGTCTGGGGGCGGGGGGCGCTCACTGGAGTCTACACGGAGGCCCGCAGCCGGAGGCGGCACTCTCGCCCACCTGGAGAAGGGCTGGGAGCGGCCAGCTACTCGATGCCTTCCTGCTTGTCCTTGATGGCCACCTGCAGGGGAGCGAGGGTGTGGGAGACTCAGCCCCAGGCTCCCTGACCGAGGGCCGCCAGGAAACCGCCCCCGTGCCCGTCCCCAGAGTGCAGCCGTGGGCCGAACAGAAGCAGCAAGCAGGCCCCAAACATTCTGGGCGCTAGGCAGGCGCCTCAGGGGCCCCGGAGCCAGCCCCACCCATGTGGACCCCCCCGCAGCTCAGGTCCTGTTGCCTGGGGCAGGAGGGAGTCCAGGAGGACAGGTGCCTCCTGGCGACTCAGGAAGCCGTGGCTCTTTCCCACTCTCAATTATGTCTAGACTTTAAACACCCCCGAATAAACAAGTGTGGCCATGCCCATTTGGGCTTCTCGAAGATGGAACCCTCAGGGTACAGTGAGCTGCACCCTAGACAGGGCCGGCACCGCGGGGAAGAGGCTTGGAGGGCCAGCCCCAGGCAGCGGGCCCCTCGCTCCCACAGGGAGGCCGGGGCACCAGGGGAGAGCCCACCCCCGGACGCAGAGCGCAGGTCCCAGGCCTCAGCTCTGTAAACCCTCAGTCCACACTTGCTGGATGCTGTGGCGGACGTCCCTGCTGTCATCATCCCCTACCCCCCAGTAAGTCAGAGACAACCCCCCAGGGGCCGTCCTGGGTGAGGGCGTACAGGGTGGTGTCTGTGGGGACCCCACCCCCCCAGTGGCCCCTCACCCGGAAGCGCTCTTCCAGCAGGGACAGTTCACTGATGAGGTCGGTGATGGCGTTGGTGAAGGCCTCCTGGGGGCTGTAATCCGGCGTGGTCTGCACCCGGATGATGATCTTGTGCTCCAAGGGGTGTGGGACTTTGTAGCCAGCAAACAGCACCTGTGGGTCCTTGAGCAGCTGCCTGAGACACAGGGATGGGCGCGGTGAGGGGGGCAGGGTGCTGAGCCGAGTGCACTTGGGGCTCTGGCCCCCTTGGGCCTTCTAACCAAAGGGCTCCCTGTTGGCTTGTGGCCTGAAAGCACACGCAGCTACTCCCGACCTTTAAGAGTCTGTGTTGTGTGGTGGTGTCACACACCCCACTCCAGCCCCTGCAAAAATCTCCGAGTTAAACAGACACTTGAAGACGACACAGCCCGTGGGGACTCCTCCCATACACACACCTACGTGCAAGAAAGTCAACAGCCGTTCCTAGTGAACAGCCACCTCTTCCCTCAGGGGATGTCCGGGAGCCTGCAAAAGCCCCAGAGAAACCTCCCAAGACAGGAAAAATCCAGCCAGCGTCCAGTAAACCAGAAAAAAAAAAAAAAAAAGCCCCATTCCCAGTCCCCAAAGAGCATCTGGCAGAGTAAATAAAGGCAGCAGGTGAAGAAGGCCCTAGGCTCTGAGCACTTAATGAACCAGAAACGGAAATCCTCTGGGCAAGGCGGGCTGGCAGCTGCCATCCGCACACACGGGGTCCTGCTCCATGAGGCTGTGGGGAGTGAAGCCTGTGCCCTGGGCCCCAGGAGGCTTCCTCCTGCGAGGCTCTGTCAAGTGTGAGCACTGGGGAGCTCCCCTGGTGGCTCAGCAGTAAAGAACTGCCTGCCAATGCCAGAGACGTGGATTCGATCCCTGGGTCAGGAAGACCACACATGCGACTAAGCAGGTAACTAAGCCCATGCGCCACAACTATGGAGCCAGTGCTCAGGGCCCAGGAGCCACAGCGCCCGAGCCCATGTGCCGCAGCCACTGAAGCCTGGGCTGCCTGTGCCCTGCAACGAGAGAAGCCACTGCAGTGAGAAGCCCTCAAACCGCAATGAGAGAGCAGCCTGAGCAGCAGTGAAGACCCAGCATAGCCAAAAATAAATAAAATGTTTATAAAAAGTATGCACACCGAGGGAGGGGTGCGGCCTGGCACAGGAGGGGACACTGGGCTCACACGGGCGGGGGGCCGCAGCAGGACCTGCATGCACCTGGGTGCACCCCTGGCGTGGGGCTGGGCGGGAGTCATCCAGACAGAAGGTGGGCAACCTTGCCCCCTAACTCACACCAGGGGATAAACAGGCTCCTCCTGTCCACAGCCTCAAATATGCATACCTGGGAAAGGCTTGGTTTCACTGACAGCATGTTTCAGTAGTGAAAGGACAAGTTCCTGGGCCAGAGTGGCAATCCCACTGCTGTCCACCTACTGGGCCAAGACTTCACTGGTGCAAATACCAGGTGTCAGGTAACCACCAGGACACCGGATGACCACAGAGTCCCTCTCCCACCTTCCCTTATTCTACTAACTGACAATCTCTGGCACATACGTCTTGGAATGCCAGGTGTCACTGATGTCACTACTTGTGACAGGATGGGCGGCCAACCCTGAAGGCATCTCGTGAGCACAGAACCTCAAATGGGCCTCCTTTTCTGTGGCTCACTGTGCATTTACTTTCTTTAGTCAGATAACTAAGCCAACACAGAGAAATGGCTGCAAGACCAGATATGGGGTCACCATCATTTGGAAGAAAAGGTACTGGGATCTGTGAATTCCCACAGCCAGCTCTGGAGCTCAAAGAGTCTGGAGAATGTCTTCTGGAACTTATGCTTGGCCTCTCAAAAAGCCCATCAAATGTAACTCCCAGGACTTCTTTGGTCGTCCTGTGGCTAAGACTTCACGCTCCCCACATAGGGGGCGCAGGTTCGATTCCTGACTGGGGAGCTGGAGTCCACATGCCCCGACTAAGAGTTCACAGGCAGCGACTAAAGATCCTGTGTGCCGAGACTAAGACCCGGTGTGGCCAAGTAAATAGTTAAAAAAACACAACCCCCAAAAGCCACTGACTTGGAACTTACGATTTAATGATGTTTCCTAGTGTGTGGTCCTCCTTGTTGATGGTGAACAAACAGGCATTGGGTACTTTGGTGTCCTTGTTAATGGTGATCCTAGGAAGAGGCAGAGGCAACAGATTGGGGGCGGGGGCTTTCCTCCCTGGAGTCTAAAGGCTTTTCTCTCCTCCAAGGCAAGCTTAGGCCCTACCTCTTCCTGAGAGTCTTGCCCCATCTCTTCATCCCATACAAACCTCTCTGACTCAGAGAAGCCCAAACCCAGCCACACCTGGTACTGTGGGACCCTCACCTACTCTGAATTATCCCTTCTCAGAGCAGAGCTTCTCAACTTTGGCACCACTGATATTTTAGGCCAGAAGATTTTTTTGTAGGGAGCTGTCTGGTACACTGTAGGGTATTAGCAGTAGCCCTGGCCTTCACCCACTAGAAACCAGAAATGTCTGCAGACATTGCCAAAGTCCCCTAGCGGGACAAAGTGGTCCCCCAGGTTGAGAACCACTGCTCTCAAGGGAGACTGAAGTGGCTGGCAAGGGGCTATGGGCTAGACTGCAGAGCCTTGCAGTTAAGACCAGGCAGTTAAGAGAAAGAAAAGCCAGCATTTAAGATGGTCTTTTGCGGGGACTTCCCTGGCAGTCCAGTGGTCAAGAGACCACGCTTCCACAACAGGGGATGCGGGTTCCATCCCTGGTTGGGAAAGATTCCCCATGCCACCGAAGCGTGGAGAAAAAACAAAACAAAGCAAAAAGATGGTCTTCTTTGTGCTGAATCCTAGACTAAGCACTTCACATAAATTACTTAATTTAACCTCCCCAAAGAGAAAATCCTGTGATTTAATACACTAATAAGCCCACTTCCCAGACGAGGAAAGTGGTTCTCAGGCAGATTAAGTCACTTGCCCAAAGACACAGAGTTTTTAAATGGGGGATCCCCACGCAGGCTATCTGAGAACTGGATTGCACTTCTCTTCACCAGCAGACAATAAGGAGTCACTGGAGATTTTACACCGGCGAATGAAGATCCGGTGTGAGTCTGACAGCCGTCAAACTGTCCTCTGGATGCAGCAAAGAGGATAACGGTGCCGGGTGGGAAGACTGTGGAGCCAGAAACCCTGGGTTCGAATACAGATTGGCCAATTTCTGTGCGCCTGGAGGAATTACTTAACCTTTCTAAGCCTTGGTTTCCTCGTCAATAAAATGGGGCGGCTCACCACCACCCAGGACTCTCTTAAGTTTGGCAGACACGGGTGTGGAGCACTCGGCGAGTAGACACTTGAGCAAAACTTGCTTCTGTCTCCCAGCAGAGGACAGGCAGAGAAGCCCCAGAATCTAAGGGCGCAGACGGTCGAGGGTCCGCGACCCTCCCCCAGCCCCTGACCCAGGCTGGTTCCACTTACTTCTTCTCGCCCTCGAAGAGCAAGAACGACTCGAAGGCTGGAGGGGCGTTCATGCTAGCGTCGCGGCCACCTCCAAAACCGCTGCAGCAGCCACCACCGCCTCCAGAGCCCTACTAAGCGACCACTTCCGGGTTAGCGGCTGCTTCCGGATTACGCCGGCAGTGCCAAACCCGTGTGAGGATCGGCTCGTTGCCCCCTATCGGTCTGGAGGATCCTGCGCAGGCGTGCGAAAAGCCTGCCAGAGGGAGGCTGGTGGCTCTGCGCATGCGTGAGTCCAGAAGCTCCTCTCCGCTCACCTGCGGGTCCTGGCGCGCTTTGGCGCTGGGTGGGAACGCTGAGGGGTGCTCTTTCGGTTCTCAGATATCCTCGTTTAAGCTAAGCGGGAAGCCTGCGGTGTACTTCCCTCCGCTCTCTTTGCCCCTCTACCCCTCTTTGGAAATGTGCCCTTGGAGTACACAGCAACAGGCTCTTGAATGGAGGAGGAAGCCTTGTGGTAGTGAGCAGGTGTGACCAGAAGGGATGGAAGAAACCTCCCCTGGGCTAGACTGTTGTGTATGAAAAAAAAACCCGTGCCCACGCGAAGGGCTGCAAGACCCCTGGCCGGGTTGTCAACTGACTTTCCAGGTGGGCTTGTAGCCTAGTGAGTTTCTTATTAGGGGAGGGAGGGCTAGGGAGGAAGCAGGTGTAAACAGATGGGGACCAAAAAAAAAAAAATGTCTGCCATTTCAGTAAACAAAGAGCGGTTGCCCACTATCAAGTCACCAGCCCCTTGACAGTGCACCCTGAGGAGAGTTCAGGATGGAGAAAAACAGGATGCTGGCCCTAGATAGTTAGTATGCATATCTAGAAATCATTTCAGTGAGCCCACATTCTTGCATCTTCCCAGGAAAAGCACTGAAATCCTTGAGTGTCTGTCTTTTGTGATTAGGAGTAATCTTCTGATATTCGACTACATGTGTTATGTTTTTCAGCAAAAACAAAACAAAACAAAAAAGCTCCTATATATCCTGTCTCTTTACCTCTTTGGAACAGTTCCTCACAGCGATCTGAAAGGCTGTCTCCCAGGCTATCGTCCTCAGTAGGATCCCCAATAAAACAGAACTCATTTGGGAATTCCATGGCTATCCAGTGGTCAGGATTTAGCACTGTCACTGCTGAGGCCCAATTCAATCCCCAGTTGGGGAAGTAGGATCCTACAAGCCACGTGGCGCAGCAAAAAAAAAAAAAACAAAAAACATAACTTCCAACTTCTGGGTTGTGTATTTTTGTTTTGAGTCAACACAGTTGAGAGGAACTCGAAAGGATAAGGGTATGAGTCGGTTCTGGTTGGTTGATATTTTGCAGATTACAGTTTAGAATAAAAGTCCTACCTGAGCAGTCAAAGCAACAGGGGCCAGGGTCTCAGATTAACTACTGGAGCTGTAACAGCTCCCTAGCTGCTTCTTCAGGTCTGGGCCACAGCTGTGGAGCCCCCAAGGAAATCTGGAGCTTCCCTCACCACTTCCTGGGAAGACTATTTCCTACTTGAGCTTGAGACCTGCGGTGAGAAAATGTCATATGCTGGAGGCCCACGCCAACCTGACTCTCTGGGCCAAGAGAGTCTTTTTGTTGTTGTTGTTGCCAAGAGAGTCTTTTAGGTTGTGACTGTTTTTTAAGTCGACAGTTTCATTGGAATACGCTGTCCCCACTGGTTTCCTCATTGCCTGTGGCTGCTTTTGTGCCACACGAATAACTGTGACCAAAACCTGCATGCCTGGGCCTTCGGAGGAAAAATCTGGCAATCCCTAGTCTTGGGGAATGAACCCATGTTTGACTTTGATATTTATTATTCAATTAGAGCCCAGACACTGAATTTACTTATTAACTTAAAGGTTTCCATCCCATACAAAACAAAACTTCATCCACCAGTTTTGTATCTAATATCACCATCTTATTCTAAAATTTCCAGCTTCTCAAAATAGTCTATGAACCAGCTTTGCTCAACACTCCTTTCCTCCTTGAAGTGTAATAAATCTTTGTTACATGTTCATTCTATATTTGTCTGAGTCATTTTTTTTTTGTCTGAGTCATTTTTTAACGTATTTGAAAATTATATTTTGACAGAAATTTCCCAAGAGGAAGTCGGTGGGAATTTACCCAGATTTCCTATGGGATCGGCTCAGAGAATGAAGAAACGCACATACCATATGAGCTAGGCCCACTCAGGGCTTCCCAGGGTGTCTGCTTTGTACTGAATGCCAGCCTCAGGACTGCAGGCCTGTGTCTGAGGGCCCAATCAGACTCTCAAGACATCTGGGGGGCGGATGAATAACACGCCTGGCAATCCCAGGGGAGTGGTACAGACTCCCTGGGCAGGTGAGGAGGTGATCTCCAGGACCGCCTGAACTTGAGAGCAGGAAGGAGTCTCCTCTCTCCTTTTTCCAGGAGGCTTCCAAAAAGAACGTAGCATCCTGGGCTGTAGGGAGCTCTGCCCAGAACCTGAGAGAACCTAGCTGGGTGGGTACTCACGGGAGAGGAGGCTACAGTGGCCACGCCCACATCAGATCCATTGGAAGAGAGGGTAGCAGTGACCACGGCCCCATCAGGTCCATTGAAGGAGAGGGTGGCAGTGACCACGCCCACATCAGGTCCATTGGAGAAGAGGGTGGCAGTGACCACGCCCACATCAGGTCCATTGGAGGAAAGGGTGATCAGTGTTGCCAGTGGATGGCTGTGTGTGTGTGCAGTTAAAATCTGCGGTTCTGGGACTTCCCTGGTGGTGCAGTGGTTAAGACTCCAAGTTTGCAGTGCAGGGGATGTGGATTTGATCCCTGGCCAGGGAACTAAGATCTCACATACCAAGGGTTGTGGCCAAAACCCTCCCCCCCGGGGTTCTACTTGTGGTAGCCCCTTATAAGTGCACACTTCTCTTTCCCCTTCACTCCCTGCCTTGGGGCTCAGCAGACCCTGGGGTCCATACTTCCTCATCAGGAGGCCCTTGAAACTCAAGAAGATCCAACATGCCAGATGTGTGTGAGACCCTAGGGAAGTAGCCGGAGAAGCAGGAGTTGGTGATGGGGGCAGGGAAGAGCCCCCCTGGACCTGAGCCCTGGGCCAGGAAGCGAGAGGGGATGCCCAGCCCTGCAAAGCAGCTGGTGAGGCCCACAGGATGGCGGCATCATGACCAAGAAGCGATGAACATCCAGGGGTTTGAGTTGGTGTGAGCTGTGGGGGGAACCACCCCCATCAAGGCTGTGGCCAGGAGAAAAGCCTGACATGGCCTCAAAAGCCAGGGGGCTGAGGGGAGGGGGCAGCCCCTTGTACCTTCATCACCCTTTTGCCTTTCTGGGCCACCCCTCAAAGAACCCAGATTGTAGTCTGCCCAGATGGTCCTGCCCCAGAGCCTGGCTAGTCAGCCGGGTCAGGGGTCCTGCCTGTGACCCAGGCCCTTGGGAACTGTCCCAGGTCTGGGCTCACAGGGGAGGCTCTAAGCTTGGTTGAATGAGATATTTAAGAACATGCTGGAAGATCCCGTCCCTCCTTTGTCCCGTTAATTATGTGGAAGGTGACTGTGTACCTAGGGAGGGACTGGGAGGAGGGCAGGGAGGTGATGACCAAGGAAGTCCTGCTTGGGATGAGGGGGTTGGCATAAGGGACACTGACAGGGCCAGGCCACGTGGTTTGAGGTTCTGACCTGCCTCTGCTTGCAGTCTTCAGGACGCTTGGAGGAAGGGCCTGTTTTCAGGCTGCGAGGAGGGGCCAGCTGGTGAGACATGTCAGGCTCGTAGCCCATGGATGGATGAGTGGGACCCAGGGGTGTGGCGGGGACAGTGGGTGGGAGGAGAAAGGAAGTCCTCAGGATGGGGGACAGCAGAGAAGAGGCAACAGGGGTACACAGAATCAATGCTGGTGCCTGGTCCTCCGCCACCCCAGCCAGCAGCTGACCCCCATCACGAGAGCCCAGAGCCTCCGCAGTCACAGCAGGTTTATTGTTGGCAATAAAGCACCTCGATGCTCTCCCGGGGGACACAGCCGAGGAGCAGGTGGGGTGGTGGCTGGGAGCAAAGGGGGTGCTGAGGTCCAGGCCTGGTCTCCTGGGCCCCACGCGCCCTCCTGCCTCTCTGGGTCCGAGAAGCGTCAGTACATCTGGGAGTGGGCCACCGTAAAGGGTGGCTTCTGGCTGGCTCTGCCTTGGGCAGGGGAAGAGGGCCCCCGGCACAGCCTGGGGCAAGCGGTAGTGATGGCAGTGGGGGCGGCGGGGAGCAGCCCGGCCTTACAGAGGAGCAAGAGCAACTGAAACTCCCTGGAGACATCAGGCGGACGATGACCAGCCAAAGCCTTGTCAGCCCTGGACGTCCGGAGCCCCCGGTCCCCTGGCTCCCCCGGCCCAGGAGGGACCCGGGCCCTGCATCCCAGTAAGAGGGACTGAGACTAAATGCTGAGAGTGTGCAGGGGTCTCCCTGCACTTGGCAGGGCATGGCACAGCCTGCGGGGCATCCTCACGTCTGCAGCTCCAGAACACGGCTCGGCTCCGAGGGTGGCGACCCGGCTGGGCTGGACCTGTGGGCCTCCTGGAGGTACCCGAGCACCTGGAGCAGCTCGGCCAGCGGGTCCTCAGGGGCTGGAGGCAGACGTGGGGTCAGAGAAGAGGGGGCGCCCCCGGGGAGGGAGGCCCCACCCACAATGCCCAAAAGGGGGCTGGGGTGCGCAGCACCTACCTTCCCCAGGGCCCGTCGGCCTGTGGCCTGCCTCTGGGCCCACACTCAGTTGTCGGTGCTTCTCCCTGGGGGAGAGGACAGGGTGTGAGGCTCCCATGTCCCCACGGGACCCAGGGTGACCCCAGCTGGGCCTCCTGAGCTGGAGGGCATCCTGGGGGCAGGGGCCTGCCTCTTCCAATCTACAGGAAGAGATACGGGCCCAGGTCTCAGCTGGCCCCCGCTCACCTCCCTTGTCCCCACTTCCAACCCCCTCCCTTGGCCCCCCTCACCCCTCACTCCCCATCACCCCCGCAAAGGCAGTCAGGAAACCAAGGCTGAATGATGTCACTCCTGTTTCGGAGGGCCCTTGGGAAGAGGGTCAAGCAGAGCCTGAACGTCCCCTAGTGTTAACTGGCCATGGAATGATTTCCCTTCTTCTGGGAACAGGAGACAGTGATCTTTTTCTTTCTTTTTGGCCACACTGCACAGCATGTGGGATCCTAGTTCCCAGACCTAGGGTCAAACCTGCACCCCCATGCACTGGAAGCACGGAGTCTTAACCACTGGCCCACCAGGGAAGTCCTACGAGTGCTGTTTCAAGCGTGGCTCCTGACTGGCATTCAGAAATGGCCCCCCAGGCCCCTCAAGTACAATCCTCTGTGCGCTTACACAGAGAGGTGAGCAGCCTTCGTGCAGACTTTGAGCTCCTTATTGAGGAATTCTATGGGCTCAGCCCTTTGACCATCTCCTGGTCTATTCTGGGAGACGTGTCCCTCTGCTAAGATCTAACAGGCTCCTCCCCTTCAGGTGCCTTCCAGGCCCCGGGGGGTCAGTCTGGTCCCTTACTCCTCTGCACATTTGCTTCTTCAACATTTACTAGAAGAAGAGAAATCCGTGCTGTTTAAGCCAACAAATGTATGATAATCTGCTACAGCAGCTGCAGGAAACTAATACAGCGGGGGGCTGTGGACAGGTGATCGGGCCAGAGGCTGGAGTTCCTGGTAGGGCAGAAGTTCTGGGCAGCAGGCTGGAATGGGCCAGGGCCGGTCAGAGGCTCTGGAGGTGGGGAGGCCCTGAAGGTAGGCTGTGCTGGTTAAGAGCCTGGGCACTGGTCCCACCTGAACCCCGGGTGGGTTGGGTTTGAATCTTTGCTCTGCTGCTTCCTGGCTTAAATGGGGGATGATAGGAACCCACCTGCTTCAGTGGCTGCAAAAAGTGGTTTTTTAAAAGCACCCCATGTTTTCTATGGAGCCAGGGGCTTCCCTTGTGGCTCAGGGGTAAGGAATCCGCCCGCCAAAGCAGGAGACATGGGTTCGATCCCTGGTCCTGGAAGATCACACATGCCTCAGAGCAACTAGGTCCGTGTGCCACAACTATTGAGCCTCTGCTCTAGAGCCTGAGAGCCGAAACTACTGAAGCCCAGATGCCCTAGGGTCTGTGCTCCGCAACAAGAGAAGCCTCCACAATGAGAAGCCCTCTTGCCACAACTAGAGAGAAGCCTGCAGAGCAATGAAGACCCAGCACAGCGAAAAATATTTTAAAAAATAAAATACAAAAATAAAACTAAAATAAGCTGGAGCCAGGGCTGAGAACCACTGAATTAAGTGAGTTGGCTGAGGGTAGTCCTGGTGCTCCGAGGGGCCCACGGACATGCTGGGCAGATGAGGGGGCAGGGTCAACCGGAGCGGAGATCAACCACAGCCTGACCCTGGGCTTCCACAGCCCTTGGCACCTTCATCCAAATGAGAGCCAGCCTCATGCTGCAGAGATCCAGGCGCCCTGCCCTCCCCTGGTGTGGGTGCCCTAGGCAGGAAGGTGCGGGGGCTGGATTAGTAGGGAAGAGACCAGCCACTGTGGAGGAGCCCTGAGCCCCAGTCCTGGCTCTGGCCACCCCCTGCCCCCCAGCACATCCCCGGGGGCTGCCCCAGGCTCTGCCGCGTGGACCTTGCTGCCCCTGCGTGGGCCTCCTCACCGCAGTGCGGCCTCCACGCCCAGAAGGTGCCGGTAGATGAGCTGAGCCTCCAGGTCGTGGTCGAGAGGGTCATTCCACTCCTGCAGGGTCACCCAAGACCGCGTCTTGTCGCAGCCCAGATCTGGGGGCAAAGAGAGGACGGAATGGTGGGCAGGCACTGTGAGCATTCACATCTGACTTCCTGGAACGCAGATGGGGGAACTGAGGCCTAGAGAGGGCGAGGGGTGGACTCAGGGGCCCCCTAGTGCAAGGCTGGGCTGGGGGCACGGCCTGGGAGGTCTGGCCCAGGGCCAGTGGGTGGGTCTCACACTCCAGGGGGCAGAGTGGTAACTGACATAACTGCAGGATGTGGGAGTCGTGCAGGATACAACCTAGGGCGCTGAACCACTTTCTGGAAGATTCCTGCCTGGAAGGACGCTGGGAGCAGCTGCGAACCACAAGGTCACGGTGAGAGGAGCCAGGATGGTTGTGCCTTGGAATGTGCTGGCTCTGCCACGTGCTGGCTTCACGACCTTGGCACAGACATCTGCCCTAGCTAAGATTCGGTCTCCCCCTCTACAGCACGCAGCTACCCAGCCCTGCCTCGTAGCGCCCTGGGGAGCCCCGCTGCGCCGGTGACGAGGGTTCTTGCCACAAGGTTATAGCCGGAGGCTGCAGGCCAGGCCCACCAGTCAGGGACATGCTCCTAACAAGATGCCACCGCCCCCTGTCACAGCCAGGGCTGGGCGAGAGCGGGTGGGCCACCTTCCCAGGGCCTGGCAACGCCGAGCTACGGGGCTCAAGGCTCGGCCTGGCCCGCCGGCGGAGGGGCTCAAAGTGCTGAGTCTCCTCTGTGACTGGGGAGCAAGAATTTTGTAAAGCAGATATAGATAGTGCAGGAAGATCTGGAACCTTCAAGAACTTTGCTGTACAAGAAGACAGCCACCAGTTGCATGAGACCATTCATATCAAAATGAATTGAAATTAAAATCGATTCAAAACTCAGTTCCTAGGCTGCTCTCGCCCCATCACAAGTGCTCAACAAGCGCATGTTCACAGCAGGCACACACACAGTGTTGGGCCGTACAGATACACACCATTTCCATCATCACTGAAAGTTCTAGAAGCTTCTCTCTGCCATCCCTCTAGGGCGCAAGGCCCAGGGTACCCCCAACTCACAGCTCCAGTATATTGGGCTGCCAGTGTGGCAATATGCAAATTCAGGAGCCCACTTCAGCCCTCGTTAGCAAGGAATTCCTAAAGCGTGTTGCTCGGAACCCTGGTTCTGCAAGAAGCTCATTCACTGGGCCGAAAAAGGGATCCCTGGAAAAAGAGTTTGGAAAGAGCTGGACTAGATGGCGTCAGATATGGGATTCTAACTCTGGCCTCCTCCAGGGTCTCCGAGGCACGCACAGGCTTTGTCCACACCAAGTGCAGTTCCCAGACCACTGGGTCACGGGACCCTTTCTGCCCAGAGCACCTGCATGGCCTGGCTGGCCTTAGCTGAGTACCCACAGCTGCCCAGGTGGCTCCCAGCTGGCAGTGAGGCGGGGCTCCAGAACCCCACGCCCCAGGAAGGGCCTGAGGCCTATGGGGGACAGACTCAGCACTGTGGGTTTCCAGCCTTCATCCCACCTGTCTTGTCCCTCTGGTGGCAGCAGCTCCATTTGTCCCCGCGGAAGACGCCAGGGTGGTAGGAGCCCAGCAGGCCAGTGTTGTTGATGCAGACCTTCCTCAGCGCAGACAGCCACTGGTTCAGCTCGTTTACACACTGCAGGAGATGAGGCGGGAGGGGCTTTGATGAGAGGTCACTGCCTCCAGGAAGCCCTCCGTCCTTGAAGCTGCCCTGCCTCTCAGGACTACACAGTCTCGAAAGCTGGCTCAGCAGCTTCGAGGGGGAATTAGGAAAAGCTGCCCTTTCTCCAGATGCAGGCAGCCCACACCCAGCACATGGCCTGGTGAATAGAGCGAAGGCTGGATTTCAGCCCCCACTGGCCCCCTTGACCAAGCCCAGGCCACAACTGTTAATTATGTGTGGTGGCGCTGCTGGCACCATTCTTTCCCTGTGGCTCCAGACCCTGACCCATCAGGGAGTCCTTGAGGGTTGGGCCCCATAGGATGGATCTGTGATCTCCCACCCATGCATCCAACAGAGTCACTCTGGGCAATGAAGCACGCCCCCCTCCCACTTCACCGTCCTCCTTGTTCAATGTCTCTGCTCAAATGCTGCCATCAGAGGCCCTCCCTGAGCGCCCCTCCCTGCTGCACCCCACTCTGTCCCCTCCCTGTCTCTCTCAGGCTCTGTTGCTAATGTCAACGAATCATTGACATTAAAATAACGTCAAATATTTTAATTGACATTTAAAATATTTATTTATGGGTCTATCTCCTTCCCTGTGATGGAAACCCATCAAGGCAAGGACTCTGTTCTGTCTGCCGCTGTACCCCCATCACTTAGATTAGTGCCCGGAACCTAGAAAGTACTCAATTAATATTTTTTAGATGAATGAATGAGTGAATGGGTTAATACAGGAAGAGAAGGGGATTTGAGGGAATGACCCACAGCCACTTGCATAAATGTGTGATTGTTCCGTGTAGATACATACACACACACACAGAAACACACAGACACAAACTTAAGACAAGTTCCAATAAATGTATACAATGTGAAGATTCAAGACACAGGGACACACTCATCTATGCACTGGACCACCCCGAGACCTAAGACCTATGCATGGGTGCCAAGGCAGGGCCACACAGACACGGGCATGGCTTCCCAGGCACCCAGACCCCAAGAGACACACCCACGGCACTCACATCAGCTTTCACACCCACGCTGTGCTTGACACAGCAACAGGCAGTCGGAGGCACACTCAACCTTCTCTCCAGTCTACCCGGGGTGTGGGGGGGGATTTTCCCACGGGACCCCTATTGGCTGTGGGCACACCTCCGCACGGCCCACACCTTGCACTGCAGGTAGGCAGTCTGGAGCCTGCCCGAGTCGTCCGTGTAGATGACCTGCATGACATGGGAGCTGCCGAAGCTCTTCTCCTCCACTTTCTCTGCTGCCCGGATGTTGGTGAGCTTGATGAGGGTGCTCTTCTAGAGGGACGGGGACAGGGAGAGGGAAACTCAGGGTCCTAGCTGGGGTCACTCCCCTTCCTATTTCTGGGCCTCAGTATCCCCTTCTGCAGCACCAGGGGTTGGCACTGGGGATCCAGATGACCCACCCTCCCAGGAGCCTGCTCTGAGAGTGACCTCAGCCAGGACAGGGTACAAGCAGATGCACCTGGCCTCTTAGGGACCTGACCATGCCTCAGTGCCCTACCTCACTCACACCCCTGACCAAGAAGCCAGGGCAGGTCACTGTAGCTGCTGCCCACCCCAGGACCCCCAAGACAGAGGACCTTCTTCCTCATGGGTCTTAAGTCACCCTATGATTGCCACCAGGGGCCTGCCCCTTCCTGGCTTTCTTCTCCGACCCTGGTGGCCCCTGAGGTGGGCTAAGAGGAAGTGACAGGTGCCTCCAGGGTGTTCCAACCCCTCAGAGCCCCTCTTACCCTCTGCCTCCCTTACCCACCTTGGAGCTGGGGGTCTTGGCAAAGCTGAGGGCCTCCGTGGTGAGGGAGAAGTGGAGCTTCTTGAAGGAGGAGGACATGAGGGGGCCTTTGCTCTTGGTCCTGTGGATGAAGAGTGGCCCTTCCTTCACCGGGGGTGCCTGCAAGCTCAGGGCTCGCTGCAGGTCCAGCTCTGCGGGCCAGGGAGGTAAGGCAACACGTGAGCCCCAAGCGGAGAGGGAGGAGGGGCGGGGCCGGCCGGAGCAAACTTCAACATCGGGCTGTGGGTGGAGGGCGAGGCCTGAGGTGGGCGGGGCAGGGGGCGGGGCCGCGCCCGGAAGCGCTCACCGTCTTTCTCCTGGATATCCACCAGCTTGGTAATGAAGTCCTTCAGCTGGGCCACGCCCTGGCGCACCATGGGCTGCAGCGGTTCCATCCAAGCCTCCTTAGCCCTGGAAGCTGGCGTGTCCATGTTGCCCACGTTCTGGACCGCCTAGGGGTTCAACAGTAGAAAAGACCAGCCTCTGCTAGAGCCAGAGACCAGGCCACGGCCACTCCCACCACCCCCCACCTGCACCCAGTCTGTGCTACTCCCACTGTAGAAATGGAGGCAGGGGCGACCCAGGCTCTGCTCAAGGCCCACTCTATCCCATGGGGACCGGGACGGGTCACAGTTTGCGGTCTTTAGGGACTGAAAGTGAAAGTGAAGTTGCTCAGTCCTGTCTGACTCTGCGACCCCATGGACTGTAACCCACTAGACTCCTGTTTCCATGGGATTTTTCAGGCAAGAGTACTGGAGTAGGTTGCTATTTCTTTCTCCAGAGGATCTTCCTGACCCAGGGATCGAACCCGGGTCTCCCGCATGGTAGGCAGACGCTTTACCCTCTGAGTCCATACTTGGGGACAACTTGGGCCCAGTCTATTGACCTTCTGCGGATTTCACAGCACTCTGTTCCACTGGGTACCCTGACCCCAGCCTGGTGTCAGGGAGATAAGGGCAGCCTGGGAGAAGGTAGATCTGGGAGTTTGAAGGCCCCGTTTCTCCCAACAGGTGGTGCGACCAGGCCTTGGGCACCCTCCAGCTCGTGGACTTGTTCCCCTAATCCATGAGACCGGGCGACCATGAGAAAACTATGAAAACTGTGAAACGTAGTGCCACAGGAGGGCACTGGCGGCCTGCCACCAGGCGTTCCTAGAGCCGACGGAGAACACAGCGCACTGCCGCGAGGGCCCCATGCCAGCACCCAGCTGGGCATCTCCCGCCAGGGTCCACAGCCCCGGACCTTGGCCAGCAGGAGCAGGGTGCGGCTGGTGCGGGCGTCCGCGTGCCGCTCTCGCAGGTGGAAGAGCTTGGGCGCCAGGATGGCAGGAGAGATGAAGCGCAGGCACAGGAAGCTGGTGACGGCGATGAAGGGCACGTTCTGGAGGGGCGCCAGAGAATTGGGGGCTGGACTCCGTGAGGCCTGGGCTCTTTTAACAGCTCCCTTCCCTTTGGGACACTCCCCCTCACTCCGGTGACCCTCCCGAGCCCGGCCCCAGCCTGGGCTTCTAACCATCAATCAGGCCCCTTCCTACCAGGCCCTGAGATACCCGCCCCTTCTTTTCCCGCCACTTTCTCCCCTCCGTCCAGCCCCACCGGCAGAGGGCGCACCTCGTCCTGGGCGCTGGGGAAGCGCTCGCGCACACGCCGGAAGAGCTGGCGGAAGGTGGCCCGGACCACGGCGGGGCAAGCGCGAACCGAGCGGCTTAGTGCGCTCAGCAGCGCCCCCAGGTGGGCGCGCAGTGTCTGTGCGCTCTGCTCCAGCACCTCGGCCTCGGTCTGCGGGCGGTGCAGTCCAGAGCACCTGAGTGGGCCCCGGGGGCGGACCCGCCGAAAGATCGAGGTCAGCGCCTGCACCCACGACTCGGACAGGGGCGCCCGGAGACACAGGTGTAGAAAGCCGAGACCGGGACACAGTCAACACACAAGTGGGCAGAGGGGACGAAAGGCCGACTCAGCAGAAAGAAACCCACGCATACTTGCAGAAAGGGCCTAACCCCTCCCCCTGCCCGCCCTCCCCCCACCCCACCCTCAGGGATCACCCCTGGCCTCACCCTACATCCTTGACTTCCACCTTGCTGGGATCCAGCTCCACGTACTTCTTTTCCTCAAATACGCTGTCAATGATGGGGCCTAGGACTCCGTGCAGATACCGCATCCCTGCCACCTGGGGGCCACGGCGAGCCGCGTTGGTCCCGCCCCCACCTCCAGCTACCTGCCCTCTCTCCCCGCAGCTGACCTCCCAGCCACCATCTGCCTGCTGTAGCCCAGGATAGAAACCTGGCACATACAGGGGACGGCAGCTCAACAAACCGCAGCTACATGAGTTAATGAATGAAAGGAATTCTTGGCCTTAAAGGGCCCCGGACAGGAGACAGATAAGTTTAAGGCGCAGCTCAGTCTCTTGGCCTCTACGAATCTCAGTCTCCTCATATATAAAACAAAGACAATATGCCATGCAACCTCACCTTCAGAAAAGACTCCATGGATTTGGATGCCAGAGAGTTGCTCCGGAACAGGGTGTTGGCCTCACCTACAAGCAGAGGTTCCCATGGGTATGGGGTTGGGAGAGTGACAAGGCTTTGGGGAAGGGGACAGAGGAGATTGGGCCTGGGGGCTCCGTGCTGGCCACTCAGTAAAGAGCCTCCGGGCCACCTGTCAACTCTCAGCCTTTTGCTTTTTCCTTTACTTCCGAATCTGACCCGTCTCCCTCCTTAACTGGACCCATCGGCCTCCTGCAGGAGGACCCCGGGATTTCTCCCCTCCGAGCATCCCTGGAGTCCTAGGCTCCTCCCCCCGACCCCCACCCGGTGCCCTCAGACAGGCCACTCCCTCCCAGGCCTCACTGGTGCGGCTCAGCTCCAGCTGAAAGAGCAGGTCCAGGAAGTCTTTGGCCAGTCCCTGCCCCAGGAAGAGCTTGAGCAGGGTGGTGGCCACCTCCTGGCGGTACTCCGTGCTGGTCATCTCCTCAATGAGTGAGATCAGCTGCCCTGGGCTCTGCGGGAGGCGGCGAGGACAGGCGGGGCTGCAGGATGCACAGGAGAACCCCAACCCTTCCCTCTGAGGACCGCAGAAGGGAAGGGGGGGGCCACTGTCCCAAGGGACGGAGGGGCCCCGGGCACTGGCTGGTTCCTTACCATTCTGACAACTTAGACCGTTGCTCTTCAGAGCGTGTTTAGGAGGACAGGGAGAACACGCCTACGGTCCCTGAACCTCCCACCTTCCCCCAGGGGCCCCCTCACCTGGGTACCCAGCTTCACCTCTCGGCACAGCAGCTGCACCAGGGGCTGGTAGCAGCCGGATGGCAGCACCGTCTCGTCCCGCAGCCGCACCTCCAGCTGCAAGGAGCCCACGTGGCCCCTGGAACAGGAAGCCCATGACCTCTCCACCTGGGACCCAGGCCCGGCCCCCTTCCCCACGGCCTCCGTCTTCCCTGCTGTCCCTCTGAGTGAGCCAGCCCGCCACCGGGGTTTCCTTGCACTGTCTCCCCCCACCTCCCACTCTCTGCCCCGGCTGTTCTGTTTGGAAAGCCCTTGCTGCCTCCATCCTCAGGGGAGCTCCATCTGTCTTCAAGGCCTGGCTCCCTGCCACCTTGAGACTCCTGTGGACCCCAGGCTTCACCCATGTGGGCGTGCTGGGCTCCCCAGCCTTGAGTCTGTCAACTCCCAGAGAACAGCTCCCCCATGTGTCTATAGCTTCCTGACAACCTGCCAGGGGAAACTGAGGCTCAGACTGGGCAAACAACTTGTCACCTTAGACCTAACTTCCAAGCTCCCCTGTTCTGACCCCTCCTGGGGAGGCCGCTGACTAAGGCTTGACAGTCTCCAAGTCCCCACTGCCTGCAGGACAGCCCGGCTAAGTGACAAGTGACAAGACTGCCATGGCTGCGTCTACGGAAATGTCTTGGAGTTGGACACAGCGGTCCACCCAGCCCCTGTCCTGAGGAGGGTGTGTATGGGGGGGGAGGTGGTCTGGGACCTCCTGTGGACAGACGGAGCTGAACCACTCGAGGTGAGGAACACTGCTGTTCCTCCACTTCCGGGCTGAGTAGAAAGCAAGGAGGCCAGAGGGCTTCCTTATAGGGTTGCCAGATTCACCAAAATAAAGACACAAGGCACTGTTCCACTGAGTTATCTTAAACAAAGTTTGTCTCATATACTTCACAGACGTACACCAAAAAATCAGTTCAAGGTTTATCCCAAATTCAGCTTCACCAAACATCCCGTATTTTATCTGGCAACCCTATTCCTGGAAAACTGGGGGGAGAGTGAGAGCTATGGCTCAGGGACACTGACTTAGAGTTCTGGGGACTAGAACTCTGGTCTAGGGTCTGCAGAGACACCCTTAAAGGGGAAGTATCTGAAGGCTTGTTCTAGAATCTGCCAGAAGACTGAAAGCAGGAGACTTGTACAGCTTTGGAGCTCTGAGGTCAGGGCTGAGTCCAGAACTGTCAGAAGGGGAGGAGGAGATGCCGGCCTGGGTGGGCCAAGGGCACAAGAAACCTGGGGCCAATCACTCACCCCGACTGGCACAGCTGTCCGCCTGCTGGAGCCGAGGCTCAGCCTCCCAGGGCCCAGACCCGCCACCCCTGTGGCCAAGCCCCAAGCACTCACTCTTCGCGCCGGCTCTTGGACTGGCCAGGCTGCAGCCGGAACCAGCCCTCCTCCCGCTGGGCCGCCCACAGTCTCTGCACGTTGAACATCACCTGGGAGCAGGACAGGCCTTGGTTGTTGGTGGGGGAGGGGTGGAGATGACCCGAGGCTGGGGTCCTCATTTCTCTTCCTTGCCAACCACTGTTTTTTCCAGAGGGGGTACCTGCTGAGGGCCCCTGTGCACCCGGGGGGTCCCGGGCCTCCTGGGTGCCCCTCTGGGGGACGGGATGGTCGGAACAGAGGCTGGCAGGGGCGGCCTGAAGGGGCACGGTGCTCACTTTGCCCAGGAAGTCGTTGCGACTGACAAGGTCCCAGTCCCAGGCCTCCACGCACAGTGCCTCCGCCGCCCCCTCCTCTAGCTCGAACTCAAACGTCTCATTCCAACGTGGGTAGCATGACTTTTTCACGACCTGCCCAAAAAGAGATCACTGATCACTGGAGGCGGGCTGACTCCACCAGTCTCCCCAGGGCCACTCCACACACCTCCCTTGGGTACCCCCCAGGGGCTCTGAGGCAACATCCCCTCCCTGTCCGGGCAGAAGCCCTGAGATAGCAGAGGCAACGATTCTATGTCCAAACCCCTACTCACTTCTTAAGTGGGGAAATCGAGGCCTAGAGCGGCTAAGACACTAGTCCAAGGCCACACAGCAAAATGGTAGCAGGCTGCCCTGAGAACCCAGGTCTCAATGCCCTCCCCACCAGGGCTGGGCCCCCCACCCTGGCTGCTTCCAGAGTTCAGAAAAAAGCAGTGTGGGCAGGGGGTGGACTTGGCAGATTAACCCCTAGGTGGGCAGACTGTCGTGGCCCACCTGGGCCAGGAGTGAAAGGCAGCACAGACCATAGGAGCTGGCCCCAGAAAGGTGGGACCCACTGTGCACCCTGGGAGAGGTCGCCCTGCTTCCCTGAGCCTCCTCTGAGAGACTGCAGGCCTCAGCTGACCTCCCCGGTGATGGTGAAAAAGGATGAGGCAGTGAGGGCCGGGGCGGGTCCCTGAGCCCCCGGCCCGCTCCTGGCCCCCCAGCCTCCTCACCGAGGTCTCCTGGGTGCGGCCATTGTATCGCACTCGGACAAAGGGGTCAGATGCGCCATTCCGGTCCTTGGGGGCGAGGTCCCTGCGAGGCAGCAGAATACCCATTTGTCACCCAGCCTCACCCAGGTGGACACCCCCCACCCCACTATGGGGTGACCCTACACCAGGCTGGAAAGGCCTGGGCACGAGATGGGAGGCTGTGGACAGTGTCCCTCTGTTTTCTGGACCCTGACTCCCACTGCATTCACCCCATGGACCCCCACGTGTTCCCCACACCAGGCTAAGGGTCCTCCAAGGCCCCTTTTGACTCCAGCCAGCTGCTGCACCTCCTTGGGGGGGGCGGGGACGCGAGGCAAGTGCAGCCTGGAATAGCCCGGCCCAGGGGCACCTCTCACTGCCCTCCGTTCGCAGGGCAAGGCTCACCTCTCTGAGCCTCGGTTTCCTCATCAAGAAAGTGGAGAAGACAATCCCTTGAATGGAGATAACGGGCTCCTAGAAGGCCTGTCCCTGAAATACCCCCTCCTACTTGAGGGGGGCCCTTGGGGAGCAACCCCCACCACCATCCTGCCCTCTCCCCATAACTGGTCCTTCACCAGGACCAAATCTGGCCACGGCGTCCCCAGCTTAGCACCCTCCTTGGAAGAATCACAAAGCCCACCCGCCTTCCCTTCCCCGGAAATATTGTTTTCTGCTCTTTTCTGTCTTTTCCAGTTTATGCCTCTTGTGACTGCTTCTCTTTCCTCCTCAGAACTGCCTATTAAAATTCCAGAGCGTGGCCTTGAGAATCTGCCCAGAAACATGAGGAGAAAATGTTCTTCCTGCCTCTGCAACAAAAGCAGCTCCTTAAGGGATCAAGAGCCGAGGACAGTGGGGGACAAGTCCCCTCACACACCAAAGGGGGGGGTCTGACTGACCGCCATCCCCCCACCTCGCCCCCAACCCCATCACTTGCTAAGAGGAGGCCAGGTCATGTGTGCATGTGTATGAGCATGTGTGTGAGCGTGTGAGCACTCAGGTTACACACAGCCTGGCCTGGGTGAGGCTGAGGATGGAGGAAGTGAGTGGGCAGAGGGGTGGATTGTCCGTGAGGATGACAGGGCGTGAGGGGAGTGACTGTAAGTCTGCCCAAGTCCAGCCCTTTCCCTGGGGCTGGCTGCGCATGTCCCAGCCCCAGGATGCAAAATAAAGCCCGGCGGAGCCACAGGCCCTGCGTTCAGGAGGCAGGCCTTCCTCCCTAGTGGCCAGCCACCCTGCGGGGACTCCGCAGGTGCCGGCCGGCTGGTGTGTCCCTCCATGGGCCGCCCCCGCTCCTGCCCCAGGGGCAGGCAAGGACCCTGAAAGGAAGGTGCTTCTCACGGAGTGTGTGTGACTCACACTCAGGCCCAGACAGGAGTGGAGCCTACAGCTAAAAATACCCTGGTGGGGGCGGGGGGTTCCCTGGCGCAGGTGACAGGCCCAGCTTCCCATCCAAGTCACTGTCCGTCCCGGGGAGAACCCCACCCCTTCCCTCGGGAGATTTTCAGCAACTCCTTTCACCTCCCCCCGCCTCACCCTACCCTACGGAGGACTCCCCGCCAACCCCACAAGTCAGGCCAAGTTCACAGTCAAGTTAAACCCAGGGGAAGCCCAGTCCTGGCACTGGGGCTGGACGACCGGGGAGCAGGGCCCCTTCCCCCATTACCCCCACTGCTCGAGGATGCCTGGAAGTCCAGCATCAGAACAGCATCCTTGCCCCTAAGAGACACAGCCTCCCACGGGGTCACTGGGGAAGCGTCTTCGTGTCCCCAGTTCCCCCCAGAGCCCGCCGTCCAGGGAAGAAGCCTGGTGGTGTCAGGGAGAGGAGGCCGAGCACCCACGGCGGATTTCTCTAGTTTCGGGGGGCCCCCTGCCCAGCTCCCCACGGCTCACCTGGCCTCCAGCACAGAGCAGCGCAGCCGGCGGGTCCGGGTCCCCGGCACCACCTCCAGCCGCAGGTGGATCTCACCCTGCACCTCCTCATCAGGGTCGACCTCAGTCAGGTGGGCCCACCCGCTGAAACCTGAGGGGCCGCGGCTCAGCCAGGGGCCTGGCCCTTCTCCCGCAGACCCCCAGGCACCCCAGGCCCCTGCGCGATCGCCTCGGGGTCCTCTCAAGCTCTCAGGAGGCTGGGGCTGCTGCCCTCAGTAGCAGGTGGGGACACAGAGGGTCAGGAGCTGAACAACGGTGGGGTCAAAGTCCCAGTCCAGCGTGGTGCCAAGCTGCATCTGGTGCCCTGCCTCTGCCCCATCCTGGGACTGGCCTCTCTGCCTCAGTTTCCCCATCTTAAGAGACGGGGAGAGTGGGCTGCCAGAAGGAGGATGCGACAGATGGGGGTATGACAAGGGGATGGCATCACGGGGCCGCTGGCCCCTGAGCGGCCAGCTGGGGCCACAAGCAGGAGAGACCTCAGGCCTGGCAGGGGCCAAGAGGCCCTGTGAGTCAGCAGTGGCCCGCCCCAGCCTCACGGATGGGAGCAGGTGTGTGCCGGGGAGGCCCCTTGGGAGTCATGGGGGCTCAGGCCAGCAGAGCCTGAAGCACCTCTGAGCTCCTGGTCTGAACCTTCACCGGCAGGTGGTGACTCAGCCCAGAGGCAGCGGCACCGGGTCACAAGGCCAGGCTGGGGCAGGGCTGACCCCTCCAAACAATGTCCATGTCCCCCGAATCCTCCAGGGGCTCTCTAGCCACGCCCCACTCCAGGCCAACCCCCTAGAGTTAGTACACTGGGAACCAGGCTGAGGAAAGCTGGTGGGGTACACAGCCAGTCAGACTGGGAGGAGGGATCCCCACACCTCAACAATGGAGCGTAAGAGGCCCCTTCCTCTGCATGCAGAGGTCTCAGATCTCACCACTAGCAGCCTCTCATCGCCCTGGGGGGGATGTGGTCCCAACTGGGGGGCAGAATGGTCCCAGCTACGGGGCAGAGGCCAGGGAATAGGCGATGGAGAGGGCCACAGGCCCTTCTGGGGAAGGCAGCGATGGATTTCCTGAGCACGGGGCCTGAGAGAGCCCAGAGGAAGGTCTCAGAGCGGGGGATGGGCCGGGGACTGGGCAGACCTGTGTTGGGGAGGGCAGGGGACAAGAAGCAGGCGTGGCCTCCCTCCTTGGGTCTTACCCTTAGGGTGAGCGGCCAGCGTGTCCCTGGTAAGGCAGACCTTCCCGATCACATCGTCCCGGCTGGAGGGTGGAGAAGGAGCCGGAGCTGGGCAGGGCTGGCACAGAGCCCGGGACCCCCAACCCCACCCCCTTCAGGGCCCCTCTTGGGAGGCTGACACTGCAGTCACTTACAGGAGCCCAGAGCAGGACCCGTGACACTCTGGCAGGCCCTCTCGGGGGCACAGGCCATGTGTCTGCACATAAACTTACATGTGTGCCCACCTACATGCCCAGCTCTTCTCTCCAGGTGCCTGTTTCCAAGCTCGCATCCCCATGCACACACAGCCCAGTGCACACAGGCACGTGTGACGGGGTGGGAGCACAGTGAACCCACACGCACGGCCACAGACGCTGCACATCCAAGCCCCGCGCCCTGCAGGTCCCCCGGGGCTCCCCCTCCTTCCAGGCTGTAAAGAGGAGGCAAAGTGACCCACAGCCCCAGAGAGGGACAGGGGGACGGGGTCCGGGCCCCAGGTAGGGAGCGGGGTTCCGCCCACCTGAGGGCATCCTCGTCCATGACGTAGAAGGCCACCGAGTGGAAGGTGGGCGGCAGGTGCACCTGGTACTCCTCGCCCCAGAAGGGGGACAGGGTCTTCCACACCGTGGCCGTCCTGCAGGAGACAACCCTTAGTGCTGCCCGCAGGCCCCGGGCTGGGACATGGTGGGCGCTGCAGGGCTCGAGCCCCCCCGTCCCCACATCCCCCTCCGTTTCCCGGAACGGCTGCTCTGCTGGGTGACGATTCTCCCTGTCCCTCCATCGTCTGTCGCCCATCATCCCCTCCTGACCGTGCTCTCTGCCCTGGGTGGGGCACTGGCTGGATCTATCAGGCCATTTTCCATTTGGGGAAACTGAGGTCAGAGTTGGCAGTCACTGGCTGGCCTCAGGCCACACAGCAGGACAACAGCAGAGCCAGGACCAGAAGCCTAGCTTCCCAGCCTCCCCTGGCCCCTGATGCTGAAGAGACTCACTGAGGGTGGAGGCAGGGGGATGGCCAAGCTGACTCCGGGGACAGACGGTCCTCCTAGGGGGAGCCTGAGAGCCAAGGTCTCGAGCCTGCCCCGCAGAGCCAGCTTTGGTTCATCCCAGGGCAGAACCCTCAACTCATAGGGCTCCAGACACTTCCCTGGTGGCCCAGTGGTTAAGACTTTGTGCTCCCACTGCAGGGGGAGTGGTGAGTTCCATCCCTGGTCGCGGAAGTAAGATCCCGCATGCTGTGCGGTGTTACCAAAATAAATCCCCCAAAATCCTAGGGCTCAGCAGTGTAAGCTGAAACCCTCCAAGGACCCAGATGAAGGCGCAGGGAATCACCTTCACCCCAACCACTACTTGGACAGGCCACTTGAACTCTGGGGCCTTGATTTCCCTGTCTGTCCTTGAGACAACCCGAGCAGTCAGGCATCTCCCCACCCTGCTCCCCTCATCCTGCACAGTGTCCGTGCTCGGGAGAGAACCTGGAAAAAGGCACGCTGTTTGCAGGTGGGAAGCACTGTGGGGCTGACGGCCTTGGCTATTGATCGATCAGCAGTGGGCACCCCAGTGGGCAGAAGAGTGGAGCGGCTCTGGCCAAGAACTTCGAAGGCAAAGGCCTTCGTAGGAGAGGGTACCAGACAGCAAAGACCCTGCCCAGGATCATGGGACCCACGGGGAAAGGGATGCTGCACAGGGGAAGGGGCCGTTCTGGGCAAGTTAGCTTTTTTTCTTTTTTAATGGGCTGTGATGCTGTTGTATGGAGCTCATTTTAAGGATTAAATGGACTGCAAAAGGTTTAGCACAGGGCCTGGCAAAGTCCATCCTCCCTGAGCGACAGCTGTGGTTACCAGCCATTATCCCCTGGCCCTTAGGCCGGTTGTAAAGTTGTCAAGAGGAACAGTGGGTGGGAGGCCCTTGGCTGAGCGCCCAGTTCACAGTAGATAATCCCTCTATGGGCGTTAAGGTCAGTAATTAGCAAGGCTAGTCGGTCTTTTCTCACCTCCCAGCAGGCTGTCAGGGCCTAATGGGCCCCAAGGAATCAGGTGCTCCAAGCCCTGGCCATCTCCATGCAAATTTCACACGCCCTTAGATGTGGGAGTGGGGGGCGGGGCAGGAGGAGTGGGCGGGGCGGGGCGGGGGCGGTACCTGATGATAGGCTCGTTGTCCACCTTCACGATGCAGTAGGGGTCGCTGCTACCGGTGCTGCAAGAGAGGGGAGGGGCTGATGGGGGCGGGCGGGCCATGGGCACCCCTCCTCCCACCCCAGGAAAAACGACAGTCCAGGCTGAGGCACCAGGTCCTCGGCTGGGACCCAAGGACCTCAGGCTGAAAAGTGTGGCCCCACTCTGGGTCCGGGAGGGGGCTGGTGAGGCAAAGGTAGGAACCTGCACCAAGGCTCCCCTGCCACTGCTTCTCCAGCTTGGGGTAGGGCGCTTCTCCTTCCTGCCGGCTCCCACAGCCCCCAACCCTTCCTCGTTCAGGGGAGGACAGAAATAGCAGTCACAGAAGCCCCTCCACCACGTCAGTCTCTCCTCTGAGCCTTGGTTCCTGCTGTTCCTTCTGCCTTCAAGACCCCTCCCAAGGCCCCCTCCTCTGAGAGCCCTCACCTGTCCCAGAGGCTGGGAGTAAGGTCTCCCCTCCCATCCCAGCTAGTGATGTACTGTCATCAGTTGCCTCCTCTGCCTGACTATAACCCGAGAGTAGGGACCACTTCTGTGTTGACAGGGCTTGGCACAAGACAGGGTCCCTTGTGAGTGTTTGTTGAGTGGAATGAATGAAAGAACGAAGACAGCCATCAGCCTCAAGCTCCCAGCCATCTGGGAAAGAATAAATAGGGAAGGCAAGCCAGGATGGCTTGGATTCTCCTGTCTTCGTTGGTGGGGGGTTGAGGGCAGCCCTAGCCAGGCCCAGGGTCGCTCCTGAGCAAAAAGCAGGAGTGGACTTTCTCCAGAAGTGCCCTTCAGGTCTGCAACCCATAAAAAGGAAGGAGATTTGCATGTTGATGGTTGGGGAATTCCAAGCCCAGCTCCCCTACTCAAAAGGGGATCTTCCTGCAGAGGAAGCTACTGGAGACAAAGGTTCTCCTGACACTGATGGGAAATGTCTCCCAAGACTCAGTCCCTCCTCCCCATAGATTGGGACCTGTAGCAGCTCACAGGGTAGCTGACCTGATGTGAGGACCAGCCCCTAGACTGTGTTTAGTAAACGTTAGCACCGCCCTGGACTCTCTGATCTTCTGTTTGTAACCCTCTCCCAGTGTTCAAGAGCCCAGCCCCCTGGTTGGGAAACTAAGATTCCACATGCCTTTGGAGCAACTAAGTCCCATGCAAGGCAACTACTGAGCCCTCGGGCCACAACGGGAGTCCATGCACCTCAGCTAGAGAAGATCCCATGTGCTGCAATTAAGCCTTGATGCAGCGTGGGCATTTAAGGACCTGAGCCCAATGGTGGTCCCTGGCCAGCTGTTGGGACTTGTGCTGTCTGCCCTTGGGCTGGGCCCCTTCCCACTTCTTCCCCAAATCACTCAATGCTGCTGCTGGCCCAGCCTGGCTCCTTGCAGGGCCTCTATATTTAGGGCCTTGGCAGTTTCCAGGCTGTAGAAGGGGGAGGATCAGGGCAAATCCTGAAATAGCCCCGGGACCGTCCCCAGGGCCGCTAGGCAAGCAGGTCACCAGTCACCATGAGACTCAGCTCCTCTCTGGCTGGCCCAGGCACCAGAGGATGAGGAGGAAGCAGGACAGAACCGGGCAGGCTCTGGAAGCTGTTCAGGGAGCACCGCTGGGCCCTGTGCCCTTATGAGGACTAAAACCCCACGAGTGGAAGTGGCAGGGAGGCGGGTGGCCACTGTGTGATGACCACCCCTCCTCCGAACTCAGTCAAGATGGGTCACCAAGAGTGAAGGCGAGCTCCCTGTCCTCAGAGGCATCCAAGTGCCAGCTGGAAGGGATGTTGCTCGGGAGTCAGGCTGGGGGCTCATGAGGCCCAGGGGTGCAGGCTCACCACCATCACCCCCACCTCCAGCACTCAGGGAGGGCCTCCTGAGATCTCTGGATTCCTGCCATGCCTGAGCCAAATGCTTTGCATGGCATTTGCGAGGCTGGGTCCCCACTGAGCCCCACAGCAAGCTTGCAACCTGGGTCCATCTAGGATGCTTGGCCTGTCAGTGGCAGAGTGGATTTGAATCCTGACTTCTTTCCCTACCAGCTGTGTGGCCTTGGCAAAGAACTTCCATATCCTGAGCCTCAGTTTCCTCATCTACAAACATTTCTTGTAGCATTTGTTGGCGCAATGTTCAGTCACTCAGTCGTGTCCGACTCTTTGCGATCCCATGAACGGCAGCGCACCAGGCTTCCCTGTCCTTCACTATCTCCTAGAGTTTGCTCAAATTAATGTCCATTGAGTCAGTGATGCCATCCAACCATCTCATTCTCTGTCACCTGCTTCTCCTCTTGCCCTCAATCTTTCCCAGCATCAGGGCCTTTTCCAGTGATCAGCTGTATAAAGTAGATATGAGACGACTCAATGGAAAAGACTCTGATGCTGGGAAAGGTTGAGGGCAAGAGGAGAAGCAGGCAGCAGAGGATGAGATGGTTGGATGGCATCACTGACTCAATGGACGGGAATTTGAGCAAACTCCGGGAGGCGGTGAAGGACAGGGAAGCCTGGCGTGCTGCAGTCCATGGCATCACAAAGAGCTGGACACAACTTGGAGACTGAACAGAGCACTGCATGGGAAAGGTCTTCAACACATCTGAATCTCCTCTACCATGAACCAGGTGTCCCTGAGGGCGCAGAGAATGCCGAGACGAATGAGTCACGGTCCCTGTGCTCAGAGTCACGTGGCACAGGCAGCCCACAAAGGAGCAACTGGTACCCAGGGCTTCATCCTAACTCCAGCTGATCCAAAGGGCTGCAGGGCAAGGAACCCTGCCCAAGGGCACCAGGGAAAGCTCTGGAGAGAAGTAGAAGTTTGGAAGGGGTCCTGAAGGACGAATAGGAGTTTTCCAGTGGCCCCCGAAGGGAAGTGTTTGAAGGTGGAAGACTCACACATGTGCAAGAGCAGGGCTCTGGAGGCCAACGGCCCAAATGTGAGGGCCTGAGGTGTCGCGGGTTCACAGCTGGATCTAAGAGATGGTTGATGAGTCAGAGCTGCCTATACCAGCCACTATGGTGAAGACAGACCAAAGGAGGGGAGGGGAGGGGAGTACACAGGAGCGCAGAGCAAGCAAAGAGATCCTGGAGGCAGAACCCACAGAACCTGGTGACCCCTCCCCTGGGGATGGAGGCACCTTCCGAGGAGTCCCTCACCTGCGCAGAGGCAGGGCTGGGCTAGGGAACCGGGCACCATGGCTCCCAGGTGGGCAGAGTGCACAGTTTCACTGCCCTCGGCTGCTAAGAGCCTGGAGTCAGGCACTAGGGCCAGCACTGCGGGGACGGGGAGGGAGGCGACAGACGGAGGGGCTGCACCTCCCAGCCGCCACCAGCCGGAGGAGGCCAAGCTGACCTAGATACCGGTGCCAGCATGGGGTGGGGGTGGGTGCTTGGAGGCTGGGCCTGGAGACCGAGACCCTTCTCCGAGCTCATCTGCCTCCCCACCCGAGAGACCACATTCCCAGCTCCAGCTCCCCTCCCCTCACACAGCGAAACCCACCTTGACACAGCCCGCCCAGCACCCTCCCTCACCCATCGCCATGGCAACTGCTGAGCCTGGCCTCCTCAGGCCCAGGGGGCCTTGAACTGGAACTGCTCGTGGCGCTGAGCGTGCTGGGAAACTCACGGGGACCACTGTGCGCGGGAAGGAGGTGCCTGAGCCCCCCTCCTCCTGCACCCCACTGCCGGTCCGCCGCCTCTCTGCATCCCGGCACCCGCTGAGGAGCCCGGGGGTGGAGAGGCTGCTGGCCAGCAGACTTTGGACCCTAGGCTGCCTCCCGACTCCCCCGCCCCCGCCCTTCCTCCAGGCAGCCAGGCCCCTCAGGCTTCATACTTTCCATCACCCTCCAACGAGAGGGATTTCCTCCTCCAGTTTACAGCGGGGAAACTGAGAGTTGGTGGACAGTGAGCCGCCTAAGGCTCATAGGAGGGAGGCGGCAATGGGATCGGACAGCTCAGCTCTGGCATCTACTGAGAAGGGTGGGGGCGGGGGGAAGGGGGGGCGTGCTTTGGAAACCTCAAATCTGGCCAGGGGCCAGGTAAAGTCCTAAAAGTCAGTGATTGTGAGGAGCCCTAGGATTAAGACCTTGCTCTGCCACCTGGGGCCAGGATCTCCCTGTTCTCGGAGCCTCCGTTTTCCCATCCGTAAAATGGACCAGTGACAGCGGCCTTACTGGGTGGTTTTAAGGGTTAAAGGCTGCTGCTTAGGCAACACGGATGACACAGGAACAGCGACTCCCCAGCCACCCCATCCTGTACAGATTCTGCCTCTTGACCAATAGGTCTACTCTTCAGACCCATCCTTCCCTTTTCAAAGGCACAGCAGGAAGCCCCAGGGCATTTCGGGTGCACATTGCCAGGAACTAAGTGTTCCAGAATTACTGAGGAAGACCATTCGTTTTTAGGGGGGCACTCCACCCCCTCCAGCCACACCCCCCCGCAGTGCACAGAGATACCTCCTTTTCGATGTCTTCCCCATGCCAGCTCCAGTTCTATCAAAGCCCCTTCCGCTTGAGGTCCGCCGTCTTCCCTCCCCGTTCACTGAAGGACCCTTATAGCTCCCCCCGCGCCCCCTCCCCAGTCCCGGGCCCTTTCCTGTCATCCCCTGTCCGATGTTCCAAGCACATCTCACTGTCCCCATTTCCCTGCCTGTCTCCCACCGCAGCCGCACTCGCCACACGCTTGCCACCACTGTGGGCGGGCCGTGTAGACCCCAGAAAGGTCAGGCGGGCATAAGGGGCAGCACCCCTCCTGGAAAGTTGGGGTTCCCATCCCCAGCCTTGCTCACATGTCCTTGGCGGGCAGGTTCTTCCCCTCCACGATGCGGATGGACAGCGAGCTGCGCTTGGCCATCGTAGGTTCGCGACGCGGGGTCCTTGGCCAGGGGAGCCGGACGCCAGGTTCCAGTGCAGCGGTCGGCAGGCGGGCGGGCGAGCGAGCGCTGGACTGGGCGCAGGAGGGGGCGGGCCCCTCGAGGCAGGGGAGGTAAACGCGGGGGCGGGGGAATCTCGTCCACTTCATTCACCCCCGCCCCCGCCCCACGTGCGGGGGGGACACAGCGCCCGAGCGGACCAATGGGCCGCCGGGGCTCCCCAGGGTGGGCGGGGCTGGCCCGAGCCGCGGCGCCCATTGGGCACCGGGAGCGGTGTGAGGGCGGGGCCTGCTCCGGGCGGAGGCGGGCGATGGTTGGTCCCGGCTCGCTGGAGAGAGCGGAGGGGTGAGGGGCGCCCCCCTAGGCGAGTGGAGACCCAAGGCCCCAGGTGACGTGCGCCAGGACCCGCGTGGGCCACGGGCGTGGTCCGAGTGTCTGAATCCAGGCGTTTGAGGGTGTGGGCCCGAGTGTGCGCTGGGAGGCGTGAGCAAGCGCGGGGATGTGCGGTTGGGATCGAGCGAGGAGGACAGCGCTGGTCCCCGGAGGCTGACTCGGGGAGGCCCCAGCAAAGGTGTAAATTGAACGAATGAATAATCGGATGAATTTAGCAAACAACAGGAGTGTTGGTGTTAGAGTCGTGGGTACCCAGAAGAAGGTGAAGCAGGACAGCTCAAAGGTTCCGGGGATCCAGAGGTGTGGGGGTTTGTCTGAAAGACTCGGATTATTTGGGGGAAACTGCTTAGGAGAAGGGAGCGTCCTCAGTTGTCATCTCATTTTCGCCTTTTACATGCCCGGAGTGGGAGACTGGATGGGTCACTCAGGTTCACAGAGGGAAAATTATGTGCTGGAAGGTCACACAGTTGGCCCTTGGTGCGGCTAGGCTAGGCCTCCCCAGAACTTCAGGCCTGACTGGGGCCCTTTCCACGTGGGCAGGATTCTCCTCGGAGACTCGGCGTGCCCCTTCCCAAATCTAGAAGTCACAATCTGGGTCTGGCACAGTGGCAACTGGCCCTGGCAGCTGACTCGGGGGTGGGGGTGTGGGTGTGGGTGGATAGGTAGGTGGGAGAGGTATTACCCCAAGCATGACTGCAGACTTGGGTCCTCACTCCAGCCCCACCACACCCTTGCTGGGTGATGCTGGGTGGCTTCCTAGACCTCTCTGAGCTGGTTCCATTCCATTACCTGCAAAGAGGGAGCACTGACACCTATCAAAAGCACACATTATGTATGGGGGTGCCCAGCAGGTTCTATTTTCTGAAACATTTTGTCTTTTCCTGTTTTGTTATTTATACACTTAACACACATGCTTTACCAAATTCAGAAGGCATTGAAGGTTTACAGTACCTTCAGTGAAGTCAGTCTCTTCTCTCCCAGGCACACAAATTCCTTCCCCGGAGACATCCACAAGTCCTGACACCTTGTGCATCCTTTTGGATTCAGTCTCTGCCTGTAGTGCGTCAGCAGACATGTATTTTGTTTTCCTTTTTATACACAAATAATAGCTTAGTGGTTACTCTGAGAGTTTCACTTATTCTGTCTCAGGCAGCCGTGCATATCTGTACACAAAAAGCATCCTTGTTCTCTTGGCCGCTTACCCAGTTTTCCTTCATGTGGAGGTCCATCCATCACGTCTTCAATGTCCCGTCAGTGGATGAGCAGGGTGTCACCATCATTTGCTTTCACCAAACAATTGCATGGCTCACATGTCATTTGCTCAATTGCACGTGAGCACACGTAGCAGCCAAGAATGAATTCCTAGAAACGGAATCCCAGGGCCAGAAGACATCTGTGGGCGGGACTTCCGCAGGATTTGCCAAATTTCCTGTGGTGGTGGTGGTTCTGGTATACACAGCCATCAACATACAGGAGAGTGCCAGCCCATCATGCCCTCGCCAGCCTGCTGGTTATCAATCTGCAATCTTTGATCAGTAGGAACAGAATGGTTTTGCAGGTTACCTAGGACTATTTTTTCAGGTAGTTTATCAAGGCCATTATCAGTCATCCTCAATTGCTCCCTCCTGACTGGGCATCCCTCAGGCTTATTCCCCCACTCCTGGGTTTGGACCAGACCATCTGGGGAATGAGAAGAAGCTCTGTTGGCTTCTTGGTAGATTGGGGGCTCACTGCCCCCACCAGGCTATACTGAGGCCTGGTTGGTGGGTGGTGGGCAGGGAGGGTCACTGCCAAGTCTAGTGTTTGCTGTTGCTGCAAGGATATTCTCTTTACCTAGATGGGAGACACACCCCAAAGTTAAGCCAAGGAAGCCCAGGCTTCAGGACCCATTCCTTGCTTACCTCCAGTGCTGGGGAGCTTTGTCATTTAGTCGTTCAGTCATGTCCGACTATTTGCGACCCCCTGGAGTGCAGCACACCAGGCTTCCCTGTCCTTCACAGTCTCCTGGAGTTTACTTAAACTCATATCCATTGAGTTGATGATGCCATCCAACCATCTCATCCTCTGTCGCCCCCTTCTCCTCCTGCCCTCAATTGTATCGACTCCAAAGGCAGCTCTGTCCATCGTCAAACTATTCCAGCGGTGAGCACGGCCTGGACCCCCATTCCCTGAGCTGCCACAGTGGTCCCTGGGGCCTAAACCATGACTCTTCTCCCCAGAGCCTTCAGCCTACTCATCTCCAGGCCGGGTTCCCCTCCCCTACTATGAATTCTAGACCCCAGGCTAGAATCGTCCCCCAGAGAGCCTCCACTTTGTCACAAGAGCTTCTGGAGTGTAGCTTCCTTCCCTTCTGTGTTCTCTGCTCCATGGAGGAGACATGAACAGATCCTCCCATTTTCTGGGCGCTAGACCTTTAGTGATATCACCCACAATCTCCTTAGCTTTGGGGGGGCCATGCTTCCCTGCTTTCTGATCCCAAACAACACAAACCAGCTCTAATACAGACAGAAAGGGGTTCACTAGAGGCTGTTGAGTGTATCACGGATGCACAGGGAGAGCCAGAGAACCAGGTCCAAAGGCCACACCCAGCTGGGAACAATGCCCCAAATCACATGCCATAAGTGGCTTGGTGTGGACACCCCCACCGCTGCCCTGGCCAGACCCCTCATCTCACACCGACACTGGAGGCCGGGTGCTCCCACCACAGCTGCTACACGGCCGCCTCCCCTGCCTGCCCACGAAGCTGGGAGGGTGTCTGTGCCTGGGAGGGAAGGGGGCCTGCCTCCAAAAGCGGGGTGGGGGGAGGAAGACGTGGACAGAGGAAGGGGGTCCAGGTGCTGGGCACCCCGAAGGGCGACAGTAGTCCCTGCAGGGTCTTGGACTTCTCCACGCTGCACCCACTAGATGCCACCTAGACTCCGAGCACCCACAGAGTTTGTCATCTGGTTCCCGTGACAGTCCTCTGAGTAGGTGCCATCACCCTTTTCTCCCGGTAGTTTCCGTGGCGCCTGGCACCCTGCATCGCTCAACTTCAGAAGCAAGGGAGGAGGCCCAGTGGGGGCTGCCGCCCACCAACCAACATCCCTGCTGACACGAGAGGCCCTTCCCTCTGCACTGCCCACTCCCTGGCTTGGTGGCCTCAGAGCGCAACCTCTGCGGCCACAGGGACTCCTGAGGCAGAATGGGGTTGACACAGAGGATTCAGCCAGGGAGGCAAGCCAAGCTTCTAGAACGTTCCCAGAAACCAGTCTCTGGGGATGGGGTGAGTCAGAGGGCAGGACAGGGAGGAGAGCGCAGCCTGGCTCTGCCATCAGTCCAGACCCTCCATCTAGAGGGCGGCTGCAGAGGGGATCCCTTTCCTGAGCAGACTCCTACTCTCAGTTCCTATCTTCCTCATTCATTCATTCAGTCATCTGCTCAGGTATTCAGCATTCATTGACTTGTGCTGGGTGTTGGGGATCCATAGGATCAAGGGGTTTACAACTGAAGGGAAAAGAAAGACTTAAAAGGGCAGGTAAATGCGACAACAGAGAAATGAATGAGGAATACAGAGGGGGAGGGGCCCCAGGATCTTCAAAGAGGAAGTGACATTTGAGCTGGCTCTCAAAGGATACACAGCGTGCACACGGTGGTCCAAGGGGGAGGAGATGCTCCCCGTGGAGGGGCGCAGCCTGAGCAAAGGTGTGCAGGCAGGATGAAGGCTGGAATGTTCCAGAAACATCCAAGAGGGAGGTGTCAGAGGCCTATGGAACTTGATACTGGAAGGGCAGAGGGAAACCAGCCAGTGAAGGGCCTTGGCAGCTCAGATGTTTTCCTGGGCAGGGTTTGGAGCCGAAGAATGACGTGGATGGACCTGGGTGCTGGAAGTTCAGCAAGTCCACATTTTGAAGTATTAGCACGTGGGTCTCATTACCACCCTGAACTCACTGTGCCCCTAACCCACATGGTCAGTTAAATGGAATATCCCTTTCCAGATGTTTTGGGGGAACTACAAAATGTTTCAGTTTCTTTTAAATCAGAAGAAAAAAATGAATGTAGTAGTAATGAATAGGTAACAGTGGATCCACTCTGGATTGCATCCATCTCTATACCAAAGCGGACGTAAATTTTAAGATCTTGACCCACATCAGCAAGAGTGCCAAGGACTCCTGAAAGTCTTAGTGTTCCTGGCACATTAAGGAGGCAGCTCTTGAGTTTCAAAGCATGTCTAGAATAAACTCACAACAGGTCAGTGACATTGAAAAGTGCTTGAGTTTGAGGAATCTGGGTTTTTGAGCATCAGAGGAGGCTCAGAAGGGCCGGGAGGACCAGCTACCCCTCCAGCCTCCACCCGAGATGGGGAAAGAGACTTAGACAAAGGTGAGCCCCTTGGGTGTTACCCGCTAGGGAGGGGGTTGAATCCAAATTGGCTGAGATGAGAAGTGAGGGTCTAATCAAGATTACATTGGGGACATCCCTGGTGGCACAGTGGATAAGAACCCGCCTGCCAATGCAGGGGACATGGGTTCAATTCCTGGCCCCGGAGGATTCCACATGCTGTGGAGCAGCTAAGCCCATGAGCCACAACTACTGAAGTCTTCATGCCCAGAGCCTATTGTGTGTCAGTGATATCTCAGCAAAACTGGAAAATGAATAAGTAAAAATGCATCCATACCGGATTCCTCAAAAAATTAACCAGCAATCACACTTCTACCCCATGGACTGTAGCCCACCAAGCTCCTCTGTCCATGGAATGCTCCAGGCAAGAATACTGGAGTGGGTTGCCATTTCCTTCTCCAGGGGATGTTCCCATCCCAGGGATTGAAGCCGGGTCTCCTGCATTGCAGGCAGACTCTTTACCGACTGAGCCACAGGGAAGACCTCCGGATACATCCAAAGGAAGTGAAAACAGGGTTTTGCAGAGATATTTGCATACTCTTGTTCATTGCAGCTTTTCCCCCAACAGCCAAGAGGCAGAAGCCATCTAAGTGTCCACTGATGGGTAAATGAATAATAAGGTGATCTCTACATATACAGTGGAATATTATTCAGCCTTTAATAAGAAGAAAATTCAGGGACTTCCCTGGTGGTCCAGTGGCTAAGACTCCACACTCCTCCAGGTTTGATCCCTGGTCAGAGAACTGGATCCCACCCACTGCAACGAAAGATCCTGCATGCCATAACTAAGCCCCAGGGCAGCTGAATAAATAAATAAAAACAAATATTAAAATTAAAAGTTGAAAAAGGAGAAGGAAATCCAACACCTGCTACAGCGTGAACTGACCTGGAGGATATTATGCTCAGTGAAATAAACCAGTCACAAAAGACAAGTGCTCTATGATTCCACTGCTATGTGATGTCTAGTGCAGTCAGACTCAGAAATAGAAAGTAGAACAGTGGTTGCCAGGGTTCTAGCCTCAGGGAGGGAGAATGGGGTGTTTGTTGTTTAATGGGTATAGAGTTTCAGTTTTGCAAGATGACAAACTTCGGAAGATGTGTCTCACAAGGGCGTGAACGTACTTAGCAGCATTGAGCTGTTCCCCTAAAAATGGTTATGGTGATTTACTTCATGTTACTTTTTTTTAACCACAATCAAAAAATGCAAATATCCTTCAACTTTATATGCATTTCTGTGGCTGTAAAAATATTCAAAAAAGAATTTTATAACCTAGTTTTGGAAGTTCTCCAGGTTCCAGGAACTCATTTGACTTGCTGCTGACCTTGATTTCTCCACAAACATAGTCCACTCTTAGGAATCTTGGGAATCCTTCCCAAGTTAGAAAATGTGACCTACCGATTGTTTTCACGCACAGTGACACATATTAAAATGCTAAATTTGTGAAGCTGACACAACATTGCATGTAGAAGATATTTAAAGAAACATTTACCATTTTTAAAATTGGGGTGGGGTGTGGTGGGGTATGGGGACTGTCCTGGTGGTCCAGTGGCTAAGACTCTGTGTTCCCAATGCAGGGGGCCCGGGTTTGATCCCTGGTTGCGGAACTAGATCCTACTATGCCGCAACTACGACCTGGTGCAGCCAAACAAATAAATACATAATTTTAAAAATTGAGGAGCTTATGTATTTTGAAGCCAGTGACCTTCCCCTCCCCCAGACCTAAGGACTGGAGGCCCCTCACCCGCAGGGTCTCCCAGGGGAAGCTGTCCCTGCTCAGGGGAGAGGCCTCCCCTTCTGTCCTCCCACCTCCCAGTGCCAAATCTTGGCTGGGCCCCAAGAGAAGACTTCTGAGAAGAGAGAGACCCCAGGAGGAAAGGGCAGGGAGGTATTACTGTGAGTCAGAAGGTCAGAGAAGTGGATCAGAGGGAGAAGCAAGGTGTGGGGAGGAAGCTGGGCGGAGGTGCTGAGGGGGGGAAGGGCAGCCCTCCCACAGAGGTCGGGGTGGGGGGGCCCCAGCTGGGGCCCCACAAAGGCTGGGTGCAGAGCTCTGGACTGAGCCCAGGGCCCCGGGGAGCCCTGGCAGGCTCCAGACCGAGTGAGGGCAGAGTGCCAAGAGGTCTGGACCAGCCAGTTGTGAGATGCCTGGAGGAGGCAGACCAAGAGGCATTCACAGGCCGGGCAGGTTCTATTCCCGGCTCCCCCCCTGCCCCGCCCCATTTAGACAGAGGCCCACAGTAAAGAGTGTGAGCCCTGAGCTGGAGCCGGATCCGGGGTTCAAATCCTGGCTCTGTTACTGATAGCGACAGCAGGAAGGGACAAAACAGGTGATTGAAAGGTGATTAATGAGTTAATCCCGCTAGGGGACTGTAAGTAGAAAGATATGGGAGACCCCTGTAAGTTAATGATTACTCAAGAAAGCAGGGTTGCTTAACCACAAAACCAAGTAGGCTTGTTCAGCAGCAAAACCATGCATCAGAAGCATGGGACATGCCCCCAAACAGTAAAACAATGGTGGCATGAGACCCACTTCCTGCCGGGTGAGCTCAGTAAGTTAATGATGTCAGACATGCTCTCTGCACACATAAAAAACAGTAATTTATGGACCTCGCTTGACCATGTAGGGGTAAGAAAACTCCCCTGCTCAACCTGGAGGAGGAACTGATGATGAATGCATGATGTCTACTCAAGAAAGACAAAGGTCTTCTCCCCTCCTCACGTTTCCTTTGATTATAAAACTGCAGCCCCACTAAGTTCTTGGGGCTCAGCATCTCTTGCCCACCTGTGTGTAGGCCTCACAAGTGTCCTAGTCTAATAAGTCACTTCTTATCTACCACTTTGCTCTCGCCGAATTCTTCGCTGTGTTGTAGCCACGCATTCTGGGAAACAAACTCACTCAGAAGGACAATGCAGATAAAGACAGTGCAGTTTATTACATCGGCGGGCCCAAGGCAGTCTCCTCTTAGCCAGGGACCCCGACCAGTTTTTATGAAAACCTTATATACCCTAAGTGTATGTGCCCAAACCCACCTCCCCAAATTCTCTGAAACTAGTCTGAACAAAGGAAAAGAAAGATACAATCAAAGTCAACCCATGATTCATATGCCTTAAGCCTAGGTAGTTAACCGTGGACAATTATTAATAGGCCTGTGGTCATACCCCAATAAGCATAATAGAATTTATTATTCTATTCAGTTACGCGGATAATTAGGGTATTCTTTTAGGCAACAGAGAGTCTAGATGTGAGCCCTGGAGCTCTTCCATCCAGGGGCCTGGTTTTCCAGTTGGTATGTCGTTTCCATAGATACTGGGCATAGAGCTCAAAGTCCACAGTCCGGCCCAAGATGGAGTCCTGTTCTGTCTGTTTCCTCCTTCATTGCCCCCTCTTGATGCTCTTAACTCATAGTATGAGCATCATTCATAGGGATATATTGCACCCTGACTCTCCGACCTCCAATTTGGGAGAACAACATCAACCTTTGGGTTACAAAGTTCGTAATAAATTGTAAAATAAAGGGTCCACAAAGCAGAACTATCAAGGCAACTATAACAATGGTAAACATAATTTCCACCAATCACCCTTCACCCAAGATAGGACCGAAGTCCAAAAAGGAAGATCATCATCAGACATAACTTTTACCTGACCTTTCATGTCATCTCGGGCTTCCCTGGTGGCTCAGAGGTTAAAGCGTCTGCCTCCAATGAGGGAGACCCGGATTCAATCCCCGGGTTGGGAAGATCCCCTGGAGAAGGAAATGGTAACCCACTCCAGTATTCTTCCCTGGAGAATCCCATGGACGGAGGAGCCTCGTAGGCTACAGTCCATGGGGTCGCAAAGAGTCAGACTGACTGAGTGACTTCACTTCACTTTAGGGTGGCTGATATATAGCCAGATAAATCAGGAATATATACACAACATTCAGCTTTAATTATAGC